AGGTTTCCGTGCATTTCATCAGCCAAGGGCCCAGGGGAGGGGTGGGGGAGTGGTGGCGATTATTAAGGAAAGTCTTTGTCCGAGGGAGACCACTGTTCCTCAGATAGCCGGATGTGAGTCCCTTTTTGTGAAGTGGGGCCGTGGGGTGCAGGTGGGTCTGCTGACTACGTACCTGGCTCCCTGCCACGTGGCGGCGACCTTACCCGAGCTGCTTGAAGTTATTGCCGGGGTGGCGGTTGATACCCCCAGACTTATTGTCATGGGGGATTTCAATCTACCATCCGCAGGTGAGGCGTCAGAGGCGGCTTGGGAGTTCATGGCTTCCATGGCGGCCATGGACCTGACCCAGTTAGTTCAAGGCCCCACTCACATAGGGGGACACACTCTGGACTTGATTTTTGTCTCTGGTCAGTGGTTGAATGATCTTGGTAGAGGGGACCTAGATATCAAACCCTTGTCATGGACAGATCATTCGCTCCTTCACTTGGACTTTCCAGGGAGACGGAACTGACCAGATGGTTCCGTCCCAGGCGCCTGATGGATCCCGAAAGGTTCCTGATGGAGCTTGGGCCGTTTCCTGAGACCCTGGCACATGACTCGATGAAGAGCTGGTGGCCGCCTGGGAGAGTGTGGCCGCCGGAGCTTTGGATCGTGTTGTGCCTTTGCGGCCTCTGACCTGATGCCGATCTCAATTGGCTCCTTGGTTCTCTGAGGAGCTGAGAGAGATGAAGCATCGGAAAAGACGCCTAGAGAGCATTTGGAGGACTAGTCAATCCGATTCCGACCGGACACTGGTGAGGTCTTATATCAAGACCTATCTAGTGGCGATAAAAGCGGCGAAATCTAACTATTATCACATCTGCAGAGAACCGCCCAGCCGCTCTGTTTAGGGTGACCCACTCCCTTCTTTGGGGGGGAGTGCGGGAAGACCCCTTACAGGGTCGAGCTGAGGATTTTGTGCAATTCCTGCATGATAAAGTCGCTTGGATTCGGGAAGGCTTGGACTCCGATTGGATGAGTCCAGGAGAGGAGACGAGGGTAGGTCTTGAGAATATTATCTGGGAGGAGTTTGATCCTGTGGCTCCCGAGGATGTGGACAGGGTTCTGGGTAAGATTAGTGCCGCCACGTGTTTATTGGACCCGTGTCCTTCCTGGTTGGTACTGGCCTCTCGGGAGGTTACACGAGGTGGCTCCAGGGGATTATAAGTGCTTCTCTGAGTGAGGATGCCTTTCCCGCCGCCTTGAAAGAGGCAATGGTGAGGCCCCTCCTCACGAAGCCTTCCCTGGACCCGGCTGAATTAGCTAACTACCGTCCGGTCTCCAACCTTCGTTTTGTGGCGAAGGTTGTTGAGAGCGTGGTGGCACGACAGCTTCCCCGGCACCTGGATGAAGCTATCTATCTGGACCCGTACCAGTCGGGCTTCAGGCAGGGGTACAGCACAGAAATGGCATTGGTCGCGTTGGTGGATGATCTCTGGAGGGCTCAGGACAGGGGTTGCTCCTCTGTCCTGGTCCTATTAGATCTCTCAGCGGCTTTTGATACCATTGACCATGGTATCATGCTGCAGCGGTTGAGGGGGTTAGGAATAGGGGGCACCGTTTTGCGGTGGTTCTCCTCCTTCCTCTCCGACTGCTCGCAGTTTGTGTTGGCAGGGTGTTAGAAATCGACCTCGAGGTGCCTCGCATGGGGAATGCCGCAGGGGTCGGTCCTCTCGCCCCTTCTGTTCAACATTTATGTGGAGCCGCTGGGCGAGATCATCCGTGGTTTTGTTGTGAGAGTCCATCAGTACGCTGATGACACTCAGCTGTACATCTCCACCCCAGACTACCCCAACGAGACCCTTGATGTGATGTCTCGCTGCCTGGAGGCTGTGCGGGTCTGGATGGGGAGAAATAGGCTCAGACTCAACCCTTCCAAGACCGAGTGGCTGTGGCTTCCGGCGTCCCGATATAGTCGGGGTGAATTGCTGCCCCCCACAGAGAGGGCTTGCAATCTGGGTATCCTCCTGGACGCACGGCTGTCTTTTGAAGAGCATATGACGACCGTGGCCAGGGGGGCTTTTTATCAGGTTCGCCTGATTCGCCAGTTGCAGCCCTTTCTGGACCGGGACGTCTTGCGCATGGTCACTCATGCCCTTGTCACCTCCCGGTTGGACTATCCCGGCTCTCTACATGGGGCTCCTCTTGAAGAGCACTCAGAGGCTCCAACTGGTCCAGAATGCAGCCGCGCGGATGGTTATGGGAGCAACCCATTGTGCCCATGTGACACCCCTCCTGCGCGAGCTGCACTGGCTCCCAGTGGTCTTCCGGGTGCGATTCAAGGTGTTGGTTACCACCTTTAAAGCGCTCCATGGCATAGGACCCGGGTACCTTCGAGACCAACTTCTGCCACCAGTAGCCTCCCACCGGCCAGTTTGCTCCCACAGAGAGGGTCTCGTCAGGGTGCCATCGGCCAAGTTATGTTGGCTGGCGACACTCAGGGGGAGGGCCTTCTCTGTGGGAGCCCCAGCCCTGTGGAATGAACTGCCCCCGGAAATGCGTAAGATCTCCGACCTCAGGGTATTTCGCTGTGCCCTTAAGACCCTGCTGTTCCACCAGGCCGGGCTATCCATTTAATGATTTTAAATGGGATGTTTTAAATTTTGGGGGGTTTTAATATTGAGCCGAAATTATTTAATAATTTTAAATTATTTTAATTGTTGTTTGTCTTTGTGCTTTTAATAGGCTGTACACCGCCCTGAGTCCTTTGGGAGAAGGGCGGTATAGAAATAAAATTATTATTATTATTATTATTATTATTATTATTATTATTATTATTATATCATCATCATCATCATCATCATCATCATCATCATCATCATCATCATCATCATCATCATCATCCTAGGACTGAGAGAGAATGAGCCAGGTGGCTTTATGCCTAAGGCAGGATAGATCTCCCATCATCATCATCATCATCATCATCATCATCATCATAGGATTGAGAGAGAATGAGCCAGGTGGCTTTATGCCTAAGGCAGGATAGATCTCCCATCATCATCATCATCATCATCATCATCCTAGGACTGAGGAGAATGAGCCAGGTGGCTTTATGCCTAAGGCAGGATAGATCTCCCAGTTTCTAGCTTGTTACTTTAACCCAGTGCTTCCTAATTTTTTTCCTTCATTACATCTAGTCCTCAACTTATGACCATAATTGAGACCGGAACTTCCATCGCTAAGTGATGTGGTTATTAAATGAGTTGTACCTGATTTTACCATCTTTTTTTTTTTTGCCTCATTCGTTAAGCAAATGATCACAGTCATTAAGCAAATCCAGCCTCCTACATTGACTTTGGTTGTCAGAAGCCCCCTGAGAAGGTTGCAAATGTGTTTATTTACTTTGTTTATTTATTATATTTGTTTGCCGCCATCTCGCTGCAAGGCAGCTTTGTGTAGCTTACAACATCAACCCTCCTCTCTCTCTCTCTCTGTCTGTATATATGTATGTGTATATGTATATATAAAATTGCAATAAAATACAGATTATAACTAAAATATGGGGAGGAAGGGAGCACAATGTATGGGGGAGAGTGGGAGCTGCTATTAGTCGATTACACCTCCAGTGTGATACTCTCTCATTGGGAGTTCCAAGCCAGGTCTTCAAGCTCTTGTGGAAGGTCAGGAAAGTGGGAACCAATCTCTCTTCAGAGAACAAGATGTTTCAAAGGGCCCTGACAGAGAAGGCTCTTTCTCCTGGACCCTGCCAGCCAGAATTCCTTGACAGATGGGATCTGCAGCATGCCTCCTCCACCAGTGTGGGGTGGGGTAGACCTATCCCATAGAATGGTTCCTCAAGTAATCTGGACCCATGCCATACAGGACTTTATAGGTAATGAGCAACACCTTGAATTGTACCCAGAAGCAAACCTCAGGTCTTGCAGCTAATGGAACAGTGGTGTAACATGGACCACCTTAGGGGCCCCTAAGACTGCCCATACTACTTCACTTTGCATCCGAATGCTCTTCAGGGGTAGTCCCCTGTAGAGTGCATTGCAGTAGTCCAAGTGTGAGATGACCAGAGCTTGAATGACTTGAATACAGGGACTCCTGAACCAGGCCACAACTGGCTCATAACTGAAGTTCTGCAAAGGTTCGCCTAGCTGCAAATGTCACCTACTCTTTGAGCAAGACTCACAAGTCCAGGACAACTTTCAAGTTGTGGACCGAGGTAGTGCCACCCATTCAGGGCTAAAGATGTCAAAGTCCCAGATCTTAAAACTCCATGTACCCATTTGGTCTTGCCAGGGTTCAGCCAAACCAAATAGCAATAGCATTTAGACTTATATACTGCTTCATAGTGCTTTACAGCCCTCTAAGCGGTTTACAGAGTCAGCATATTGCCCCCAACAATCTGGGTCCTCATTTTACCGACTTCGGAAGGATAGAAGGCGGAGTCAACCAGGAGCCTGGTGAGATTCAAACTGCCAAAGTTCAGGCAGCTGGCAGTCAGCAGAAGTAGCCTGCAGTACTGCATTCTAACCACTGCGCCACCACAGTGATCACATGAGCCTGGGAAACTGCAGTTGTCATAAATATACACCATTTGCAAAGAACCTAAATTTTGTCATGTGACTGTAGGAATGCTGCAGTGATCATAAGTGTGAGGACTGGTTGTGATGTTTTACAATGCTGACATGACTTTGAACAGTTAGGAAATAAATGGCCGAAAGCCAAAGCTGCTTATCTGAAAGTCCTTTTTGCCCAATGTAGGTAAAACACTTCAAGTCCTGAAAGTTTCTGTTGTGATTGGGTAATCGGTTGTGTGCATTACCCAATTCCACACACACTCCATCCACATATTTTTGGGTAACTGAAAGGTTTAACTGTTATAGCTAACTGACTGAATCTGTTCAAACAAGGTAATTACATATTAAAGAGTAAAAATAATTCTGCTTAATTAAGTAAAGAACCAAAGCAGTGTATTGAGAAAAATAATATTTTTCCTGTCATCTTTACAGCATTTATCCAGTAGGCACAGTGTGCAACAAAGCATATCACAGGTAAGTTGAGTTATATAAACATCATCATTTTCTAAATATCACATGAATAGCAATACATTTAATGGTATTAGATGGTTTTGCTTGACAGTGCTAGTGTACAAATACTAATTTATTTTCTTTTGCAGCAACTTCTTGATCTTTGTTTAGAACTTCTTGCATTAGTTTGAAAATTGTATAGTGAGACAATTAGAATGTGATACTGATATGTACACATGTCTGTGTCCATGAAATGTTTGGGTTGTGTGTATTTTCCCTTGCTGTTACATTCCAGACGACATAGAAGGTAATTAGCACAATACAGCCGAATTTCAAGATATCAAAAAGGTATGAAACATTAGTGACAGCCTCTGTGCTGCTGCTGAAATAACTTCAAAAGAAAGACTGTAATGATTTCCAAGTAATGATTTCCATGAGCTTTCTCAATTTTTTAATCATATCCTACCTTCCCACTTGTGTACCAGTATTTAAATCTGATAACTGTCTACTTAAGTGGAGACAATGACATCACTGTTATCATCAAGAATGGAGCCTATAAGTCTTTTATCAATGAGATGAAAAAAATAGTTTGAAGGAAGGAAGAATAGTACCCATTGTCTCTGTCTGGTGGTCATACTTTCTAGATGTCAGCTGGATAGATATAAACCAACATAACTGAATAAACTTGCAAAACATTTCATCATTATGTATAGGTTACTTGCAACTATATATAGCTAAATATCAGAAATAAAGCTTTCCTGACTCTTCAGTTCTTCTATAGCCAATCATTGCTCTTTATGTTTAAATAACTCATCTAGTCTCATCAACATGGGTACTACCTCATTTTCTTTTTAACTTATTCCACAGTTCAGAAATGGTTAAGATAGTGCTGGGCTGCAGTAATTTAATATGGATCAAAGAAAATTGCTTTATTCAGCTATTTGCTGATATTTACAGAATCTTACATGTGGTTGTGAAATTTAATGTAGAGCAAATACTGAATACTGAACTTTATGTAATTTACTTTGTTAATAAATACTGTAATGTAGTTTTAGTAATAATTGTATCCTCAATTTTTTCATCAAACATCCAAATGTATTTTGACGACATTGCTTGATCTCCAAATTGTTACAACTAAAAACCAGTGCACATGATGAGTATTTATAGTGGGTATGTTATTAAATGGAAAACCTAAAGTTTCTAAAAGAAGGGAGAATAATTCACTTGTTCCATAAATAATTACATAACTATTGAATACTTGTATATAAAATAAAGCGCTTTTCATTTTGTTTTTTTTCAAATTAGGTGGATACAATGAGGCCACGCCATGGAGAAACATGCCGTCTGCCAGTACCTCACCATTTCTTTCTCAGTTTAAAGAGTTTCACATACAATACCATTGGAGAAGATGCAGATGTGTTCTTTTTTTTATATGATGTTCGAGAAGGGAAGCAGATCAGGTAAATCAAGATAACTTTTACTTTTTCAGAATATATAGATTAGCAATAGGAACAGCCCTTAGACTTATATACTGTTTCATAGTGCTTTACAGTCCCCTCTAAAGGGTTTACAGAGTCAGCATATTGCCCCCAGCAATCTGGGTCCTCAATTTATCGACCTCAGAAGGATGAAAAACTGAGTCAACCTTGAGCCAATCAGGATTGAACTGCTGGCAGTCAGCAGAATTAGCCTACAATACTGCTTTCTAACCACTGCGCCACCACAGTTCAGTATTGATACTTTCATTTAAAATCTTCATTTATGTAATATTTATATTTTTATTAATATAGTTATTACAAAATATAATTTTGAAATATTATGTCATGAGTTATACTTTTACTGAAGTAGAAAAGTGCTCAACTAATTTGCTAGTGCTAGTTCTTTATTATAGTCATTGAACAAATTCTACAAGTAAACAAAATAAACAGTTTATGTTTCAAGTATAATACAAAACAGACCTAAAACTATAGCTAGATCACCAATCTCATCAGTAAAATTTTATAAACCGCAATGGTGACAGAGAACAACCTTGTCATGTTACATTCTCTATCTCACAGGACTTGGGTAGCTCATCATTAACAAGAGTTTGAGCCTTCTGTCTGTATAAATTGTTGCATTTCTTTTAAGAAATTCTCCCCAAAATCTATTTCTTCCACCAATATTAAAATACTTATGATGATGAAAATAATCCACGTCCAGTATTTTTCAAATTATTCACAGAATTTTATTAGATGCAGAAAGGCATTAATTAATGCAAGTTCAGAAGGTACATAAAAGTGTTATTCAGAAGGTCTTGCTAACTAATAGGATTTCAAAATGAGATGATATATGATCTCTCAATAAATTATTAATTTATTCAATAAATCAATTTGTTTAATAAATTATTAAATAAAATTTAATAATTCTGACTAGAATAAGATTAAATGAAGTATTAATTATAGACAAATCTTTCTTGCCTTTCAGTGAAAGATTTCTGGTAAGGTTGAACAAGAATGGGGGGGCCAAGAATCCAGAGAAGATTGATCGGATGTGTACACTTTTTACAGTAAGTAGTGCTTTATATTCTGTACTCTGTTTCTGACACAGTTGGTCATTTGCGAGTGATTGACATTTCTAAATTTATAATATCATAAATTTTGTAGAACATTGTTTTAAATACTTAAATGAAATATGAGCCAGCATCCTTAAAGATGCCAGCTGCTGTTTTGTGGTCTGGTAAGGAGCAACTGTGTGGACCATTCATAAATGATCTCAGGTCCTCTTGTCTTTGGAGAGTAATTAGAGTCTTGATTCTGTCCCAGTCATTGGCTCCATTTTAAGCAGCACAATTTTCAGTTTGCCTTTTCTTCCCTGGAAGTCCAGACTTCCTTTCTAAAATATTTGTGATTATGAGTTTTATGATTTAGCTTTTACATATTTTAGCTATATGTCCAAATAATAGCATTGCTTTGCAATATTGCTTTGTAAAATGAGATGGGTACCATATAAATTTGATAATAAATAATGCAATATGTTCAAAGTATATGAAATGTGTAGGTTGAAAGCAGATAAGTATAGGGGCTATACTTTTAGATGTTCTAGAAGAAAAATAGATGTATTTAATAAAATATTAAAACTAATGATAATGTTCTTTATTATTTTTAGAAGAAGAAATATATTTTATATTTAGAAAACTAAGACTGAATTGTTTAGTTCTAACATATATGATCCCCTTCATGGATTACTGCCTTGTTGTGGTGAACAGGCTTGTGTAGCTCAATGAAGCTATGAGCTATACTGTGCAGAGCCACCCAAGACAGACAGGTCATAGCAGAGAGTACTGAAAAACGTGATCCACTGGAGAAGGAAATGGCAACCCATTCCAGTATCTTTGCCATGAAACCCCATGGACAGTACCAAAAGGAAAAAAGATATGACGCTGGAAGATGAGCCCCTCAGGTTGGAAGATGTCCAATATGCTACTGGGGAAGAGCAGAGGGCTAGTACTAGTAGCGCCAGAAAGAGTGAAGTGATTGGGCCAAAGCCGAAAGGATGCTCAGCTGTGGATGCATCTGATGGTGAAAGGAAAGTCCAATGCTGTAAAGATTTTTTCTCCATAGGAACCTGGAATTTAGTAAGATCCATGAATCAACACAAGCTGGACATGGTCAGACATGAGATGACAAGACTGAACATCAACATCTTAGAAATCAGCGAACTAAAATGGACCGGAATGGGTGAATTTAATTCAAATGACCATCAGGTATACTACTGCAGGCAAGAATTCCTCCGAAGAAATGGAGTAGCCTTCATAATCAATAAAAGAATAGGAAAAGCAATACTGGGACACAATCCCCAAAATGATAGAATGATCTCAGCTCTAATCCAAGGCAAACCATTCAGTATCACAGTAATCCAAGTCTATGTCCAACCACTGGTGCTGAAGAGGATGAAATTGACCGGTTCTATTAAGCCCTACAGCACCTTATAGAATTAACACCAAAAAATGATGTCCTTATCATTATGGGGGATTGGAATGCTAAAGCAGGAAGCCAAAAGATAACCGGAATAACAGGTAAAATTGGCCTTGGAGTACAAAATGAAGCAGGACACAGGCCGATAGAATTTTGTCAAGAAAATACAATGGTCATAGCAACCACTCTTTTCCAACAACCCAAGAGACGACTCTACACATGGACGTCACCAGACGGTCAACAGAGAAATCAGATTGACTATGTGCTCTGCAGCCAAAGATGGAGAAGCTCTATACAGTCAGTAAAAACAAAACCAGGAGCTGACTGGCTCAGATCATGAGCTTCTTGTTGCAAAATTTAGGCTTAAATTGAAGAAAGTAGGGAAAAGCACTAGGCCACTCAGGTATGAACTAAATCGTATCCCTGATGAATATACAGTAGAGGTGACAAATAGATTTAAGGAATTAGATCTGATAGACAGAGTGCCTGAAGAACTATGGACGGAGCTTCGCAACATTGTACAAGAAGTTGCAACTAAAACCATCCCAAAGAAAAAGAAATTCAAGAAAGCAAAATGGTTGTCTGAGGAAGCTTTGCAAATAGCTGTTCTGCCCCAGCTCCGGATTCCCAAGGATATTGACATAGACCAACGGTCCTTATCAAATTTATTATGTAGCAAGAATAAACCAAAGTCCGGCAAAGGTTGGCAACCAGCCCAGAAAACAAGATACGATAAGACTTTTCCAAAAATGCTCTGATGATAATTACAAGTTGTTTCCAGCAAGAAACTTACAAGCGTGTGACTTAAATAGGCTAAGGGAGTGGCCAATTATCCTCAAGCCTTACTCTCAAGGAGACCTCCTCCTCCTGTGTAGCCACTCCTGCCTTTTGGCAGCCCTGTGTGCTCGAGCATTGAGGAGAGGCTCCTCCACTTCGCTCTCTCCACTTGAAGGAACCTCTGGAGGTTCTGATAGCCCTGGCTGAGTCTCTGCCTCTGCACTGGCACCACATCCTCTTCAGCCTCCTTGCTGTCCGACGCAAGCGCCAGCTGCGCCGCGACACCACACCAGCCTCCTCGTCGGGATCAGCCGCGATCCACGCAGGCCGCTGGTGGGCCACAACAACAGCTGAGGAAAGAAGAGAAGAGAAAGGCAAGGGAGAAAGAGAAAGATACACCCAGTTGAATACAGAATTCCACAGAATAGCTAGAAGAGATAAGAATGCATTCTTAAATGAACAGTGCAAAGAAATAGAAGAAAACAATAGAATAGGGAGGATCAGAGATCTCTTTAAGAAAATTGGAGATACGAAGGGAACTTTTCGTGGAAAGATGGGCATGATAAAGGACCAAAATGGCAGGGACCTAACAGACGCAGAAGAGAGGTGGCAAAATTACACAGAAGAACTATACAAGAACAAGCTTAATATCCCTGATAACCATGATGGGATGGTCAGTGACCTAGAGCCAGACATCCTAGAATGCAAAATCAAATGGGCCTTAGGACATATGAGCAACAACAAAGCTTGTGGAGGTGACGGTATTCCAGCTGAGCTATTCAAAATCTTAGAAGACGATGCAGTAAAAGTGCTACACTCAATTTGCCAGCAAATTTGGAAAACTCAACAGTGGCCACAGGATTGGAAAAGGTCAGTTTACATTCCAATTCCAAAGAAAGGCTATGCCAAAGAATGTTCAAACTATCACACCATTGCACTCATTTCACATGCTAATAAGGTTATGTTTAAAATCCTACAAGCTAGGCTCCAGCAGTATGTGGATTGAGAACTACCAGAAGTACAGGCAAGTTTTGAAGAGGCAGAAGAACTAGAGATCAAATTGCCCACATACGCTGGATCATGGAGAAAGCTAGGGAGTTCCAGAAAAACATCTACTTCTGCTTCATTGACTATGCTAAAGCCTTTGATTGTGTGGATCATAACAAACTGTGGCAAGTTCTTAAAGAGATGGGAGTACCAGACCATCTTATTTATCTCTTGAGAAACCTATATGCGGGTCAAGAAGCAACAATGAGAACTGGACACGGAACCATTGATTGTTAATTGGAAAAGGAGTCTGGCAAGGCTGTTGCCCTGCCTATTTAACTTATATGCAGAGCACATCATGAGAAAGGCAGGGCTAGATGAATCAAAAGTTGAAATTAAGATTGCTGGGAGAAATATCAACCTCAGATATGGAGATGATACCACTCTAATGGCAGAGAGCAAAGAGGAACGAAAGAGCCTATTGATGCGGGTGAAGAAGGAGAGTGCAAAAGTTGGCTTGAAACTCAACATTAAGAAAACTAAGGTCATGGCATCCAGCCCTCTCAATTCCTGGCAAATAGATGGGGAAGAAATGGAGGTAGTGACAGATTTTATTTTCCTAGGCTCCAAGATCACTGCAGGTGGGGCCTGGAGCCAAGAAATTAAAAGACGCTTGATCCTGGGGAAGAAAGCTATGGCAAATCTAGACAGCATACTAAAAAGCAGAGACATCACCCTGCCAACAAAAGTGCATATAATCAAGGCTATGATTTTCCCAGTTGCAATGTATGGCTGTGAAAGTTGAACCATAAGAAAGGCTGAGCGCCAAAGAATTGAGACCTTTGAACTATGGCGCTGGAGAAGACTCCTGTGAGTCCCTTGGACTGCAAGGCGATCAAACCGGTGAGTCTTAGAGGAGATCAACCCTGACTGCTCTTTAGAAAGCCAGATCCTGAAAAAGAAACTCAAATACTTTGGCCACCTAATGAGAAGGCAGGACTCACTGGAGAAGAGTCTAATGCTGGGAAAGATTGAGGGCAAAAGAAGAAGGGGACAACAGAGAATGAGGTGGCTGGATGGAGTAACTGAAGCAGTTGGTGTGATCTTAAATGGACTCCAGAGGATGGTAGAGGACAGGAGGGCCTGGAGGAAAATTGTCCATGGGGGTCGTGATGGGTCGGACACATATATACACACAACAACATATATAATTAGGTGTAGACTTTCATGTTATTTTGAAAGAGAAATCATTGAAAAACTTCAATTTCCAGAAATTGTTTAATATTGTTTAGAATAATGAGATACCATTTGGAAATTTCTGTATTTTTGTTTTCATTTTTCTTTCATTTTTCCCTAATGCCTAGTCTTTCATATCCTTTTGTTGGAATTTGTAAGAAACATAGAGGCTGCTTTTCTGAAATGTAAATATAGCTTAGAGATGTTGCTAATTTATTTTTTCTTTTGCATCTTTCCTATTTATAAGGACCTTGGCAGCAAAGATATGAAGAAAGATTTGTACATAGTTGCCCATGTAATCCGAATAGGTACAGTATGCCTTATTAAAATGCATTTGCATTTTTTGTTTAAACAACAGAAATAACATATGATATGCTCTGTTGCATAAGTTGTGATAGTTTCTCTGTCTGCTGGAGATAATAACAGAAGATCACTTATGTTTTATTACTAATTGCTAAAGATTTCTGAATTATAAGCATACTCAGTAAATGTTTTAATGCAGTGGAAGGATATTTTAGTATATCTATTCCAACATATTGTATGTGTTATTTTTATGTTTATAAATAAATCTATTAGAACGGATAATAACATACTTCTGGCAGTGCCTATCTCAATTATATTTGGCTTATCTTGATTTCTTTCAGTCCCTGCTATTTAAGATTGCCCTGCCTTGAAAAAGACTTGGAAAAAGTGTTTTGGAAAGTGTGGAGCTCAGGTTCAGGCCTTCTTTAAAGCAGTTGAATCTTCAATGTAATTACCAATCAGCCCTACTGATTTTCAGGGTTGAGCTGAAGGCTGGAAGAAACACCATATTCCCAAAAATATTTGTGAGCAAATATTTAATCAAAGACAGCTTCAGTATCTAATGGAGCAAATTTTATTATTAATAATAAATAATATTATATCATTTTAATTTCAGTATTAAAGTATTTTTGCTCCTGAATTAAAAAAAAAAAACCTATGGAAATTGGCCATTAGTTTGTCTAACTGTATTTCTGTAAAACCTAGGAATCCACAAGAATTTAATGGGGATCATAAGATAACAGACACAAAAAAACCCTACTGGATTACATTGGTCTTCCTTCTGTCTGCAAGGAGTTTGATTAAGAGATGGGTGGCTGCTTTTCCCCCAGAACTAGTTGAGGTTTTTTCATCTATATCAGGGGTGTCAAACTCAAGACCTGGGGCCCGGATCTGGCCCACAGAGTGCTTAGATCTGGCCCCCGGGGCCGCCCTGGAAACAGTGAAGGACTGGCTCACGGTGCCTCTGCCAGTGAAAACGGAGCTAGGGAGGCTGTCACAGCCGAAAATGTAACTCGGGTGCCCGTTTTTGCTGGCAGAGCATGTGGGCCACCACAGGTGCCCCGACATTAGTAATGTTGAGCTGGCCACACCCAACCTGGCCACATATCCCCCGCCCCCCTGAGGCCAAACACAACCCTGATGCGGCCCTCAATAAAGTAGAGTTTGACACCCCTGATCTATATGCACATTCTATCTGACTTTCTGCCTGCCCACAGAATCTGAAAAACATTTTCTCATAAGCTGTCCTTATTTTCTAAAGGATAGCCAGAAAATTAAAAGGGACCGTTGCGGTTGACAAAATTTGTGAACAAAGAGAGCTTGAAATCCAATAGAAAATTTTAATTTGCTTAGCAGCACCAGATTAATGGCTATGTCGTTTCCTCTTATCCCTGTCAAAGATGTTGGACTTCCTTTTCTTGATTTTTGCTTGGTTATTACTTTGTCCCAAATAAAACAAAAAGAGACAGGATGATTTTAAAAGATTACAAGTGTAAGGTCAGCTTGCGTGCAGTTCATGTATACCTCAAATTCCTTTACAGTGGGACCTGCTTTAGTGTAAAACAGATATGAGAATTATCTTTGTGCGTTGCATTATAATTTTCAGCAGCTTGAATCCTATGGCAGCTTTCTACTCAAAAATATGTTTTGTGTAAATCTAATTGAAAATAATGGATAGCTAGGAGAGTGAATGCAAAAGCAGGCAGGCAGGCAGAAAGAAGATGACTGTTTATGTGGCTCAGCCAGGCATTCATAATAGAAAAAAACACGATGTAATTGCATCATGTTAATTCATAAATGGTACAGTAATTAGTACATCCATTTTTGTGAAATTCAGATGACTTTAATGTAGAATTTGCATAAATTAAAACAAGGATGAGTTTTGTGTTACTGCTTATTTTCTATCACTAGAAATTTGTCTCATGATCAGGAGTTATGGGAATTTTTTTTATTTTTACTGATAGGTTCTGTAACCTTTAGATAAGAACCCTTCATTAGATAAGAAAGAAGTGAAAGGGGCATCCATAAGGATATGGAGATTGCAGAGAAACTGAATAAATTCTTTGCAACTTTCTTTACTGTAGAAGGTAAAAGATAGATCCTTGAAGCCTGTATTGAGTTTCTCAGGGAGAAAATCAGAGCAAATTAAGTAATTTGATAAAACAATCTGGAATATTTTGCAAAAGTAAAGAATTTAAAGAATTCTTGAGTCTTGATGACTTGAGTATCAGATGTAAAATTGCTGATTTCCCTGCAAGAATATTTAACTTATCTCTAAAATTGAGTTCAGTGCTAGAGAATGAAAGTGTAGTTCCTTAAAGATCTGTGCTGAGATCAGTGCTTTTATAGTTTATGGACAAATTGTCTTGGAATAAGCAGTAAGTTGGCAGGGTAAGCAGTAGATTATATCAAACTATTTAGGGTAATTAAATCTAAAATTTATGATACAGTTCTGGAGTGTTTTTTTTTTTTTTTGAAGTACAGCAAAATGGTAAATGAAACAACAAATACAGTTCAATTAAAGCAAGTATAAAGTGATGCGCATTGGGTCACACATCCCATTTCACATATAGATTTATGTACTTTGGGTTGTCTTACCCAAACTAATAAGGAAAGTGATCTTGAGATTTTAGCAGATAGTTCAATAAAATCACAATTCAATGTGCAGCAACTGAGAAAAAGGCAAATGTCATATTCAGCATTGTCAGGAAAGAGATTAAAAATAAAACTGTCAAGTTTTAATCTGCTTCCACTAATATATTTTGGATAGAACTTTTGGGACCTCGTAGCATAGAAAGAAAGGCACCTGAGGAAGATATGATTGAATCATGCATAACCTGGATAAATGTTTATGACACTATTCCCCTTCTCTTGAAACACTAGGACCCAGATTAATCCAATGAAATTGATTGGAAACAGACTGAGAAATTTTTTAAAAAATATTTAACATAATTAACCTATGGAATTTAAGACAAAAGATAAATTGATAGCCACTGATATTTAAAATGGACTGGATAAATTCATGGGATGGCTATCGGCCTCAAGAGTTGTGGGCAGCATGGCTCTCAAACAACTTACAGGGAACATGCTGGAAGAAGACATCTACCTAAATCTAGCTGTAAGAAACAAAATTCTGGAATGAATAGCCTGATTCAGAAGAGCTTTTCTTCTGTTTGTTTTAGGACGTATGTTGCTAAATGACTCAAGAAAGGGTCCATCTCACCTCTATTACCGTCGTCCATATGGCTGTGCTGTATTGAGTGTCTTGGATGTAATTCCATCTATTTCTGAACTCAAAGAAGAAAAGGATTTTGTTCTCAAAGTTTACACGTAAGTTTATTTAGTTGAAGCATTTAGTGACACATTTAGAGTCACTGTTAGTGTGATGAGTAGCTGTATAAAATTGGTTTAATAAGTAAATGATCAGAAATGCCACGATATGTTAATGTCAAGTTTATTATTCTGATATGTAAAATATAGGTACTGTAGTCACAGTTTAGGATATGCTTTTTAAAAATATTAATCAAACAATTAAAATGTATTATCTATGACAAGCGAATTTGTGACTAACATCTGATTGCAACACTTCAGATCTAAAGTTGAAAGTTGCTTTGAAGAGGTATATATTCTACACCTATTAGCATCTCCTTAAAGAGGCTATAATTTTTACTCAAATTATTTGGTAGCCACATTACTACAGGAAAATTTATGTTGATTTAGGGAGTCAGTGCAGCAAGATGCTTTGGAGCAGCATGAAACAGCAAATAATTTGTAGGCAAATTGAGAACTCTTATGATGGCAGATACAGGGGAAAAAAATTATTATATGTATATGAAATCTTAATCTGTTCACCACCCTGAGTCCTTCGGGAGAAGGGCGGTATAGAAATTCAATCAATCAATCAATCAATCAATCAATCAATCAATACAAAGATGAATTGCTTCTAAGTCATATAAAAGCTCCAAGTACATTTTTAGAAGCTCTCAAATCCATCCAAATAATCTCACTGAATTTAAGTGACAGAGGGACAATGTTTAAAGTGACTTTTATCTATTGTTTAATTGTTTAATTAATAACTAAAATAGGCTCATCATTTAAACAGCTATATTTTTCTTGAATCTCCTAAGGACATTTCCAGACTGAGCTGCCAAAATTGAGCAACCATATATACACATAATTAATATATGTGCAATATGTGTGTATGTTTATATGTATATAAGAGTAGGAATGCTAAAACTTTATATCCATTAAATATCCTCAAGAGCACAAATCATGAAAAATAGTGAAATGTTTAGATCTAAACATTACAATATTACCACTGGGTCTCCACCAGTCCTTATAAATTTGTTGTTGTTTTTTGGCGGGGGGGGGGGGAGGATCCATTCTCAGTTGATAAAATAAAATAAAATAATAAAATAATATAATTGTATGTTATCTCTTATTCAATAGTTGGCTAATACTGATGTTACCTAGTTTGGGTAATGAGATATCTTTAAGAAAACAACCAAGTTCAGAAAGCACCAAGGACTCCTTATTTCAACTTTCAGCTACAAATATTCTCCATTATTGGATATAATTTTCATAGTAATGAGAGACATGAGTCAAAATTAATCATGGGATTTCTAACCAATCTGCTCCCAAAGGTGCTTTTTCAAAAGTCAATTGGACTTCCTTTGTTTTTGCTTGTCATTTAAGATGCTTCTCATGTAAGAAGCTTCTTCAGTTCTGAATGAATGGTGGAGAATGGAAGGATTTATATTCCTTGCAGTCATCTGGTTGTTGAACATTCGTTTTGAAAGTTGTTGAGGCCACTTGGAGGTTTATCTGTGCCCTCAGGGTCATCTGAATAACGCAAATAGGTGTGGAACCTTCTGTGTTGTAAATAGGAGCCAGGGGATGTTGTATCCTTCCTGCTGGAGCGAGCTGTTCAATCTTAATGTAGATGGCCTCTTCCAAACCAGTGGTCCTCTCTGTCCAGAATGTGGGCTTTGCTGTCTTCAAAAGAGTGCCTTTGTCTTTCAAATACAGATGGACTACTCAATCTTGTCCTGATGGGTTCTCCTTTGTTGTGTCATGCACTTGTGAAATAGTTGTTTTGTTTCTCCTATGTACAGATCTACATGTTTCACTATATTGTACTGCATATATCACATTGTTCAGTTTGCGTCTGAGTTTTATCCTTAGGGTTGATAAGCTTTTGCCATAGTGTATTTTTGGGTTTAAAGTGTGGGTGTATATTGTGTTGGTTGAAAATCCTCCGGAGCTTTTCCAGTGTTCCTGCAACGTATGGAATGACAATGTTGCTTCGTTTGTTGCTCTCTTCTTTGTCTGTTATGGAGAAGCTCCTGCTTGGTCTTATTTTTGGATTTGATGAAGGTCCAGTTGGGATAGTCACAAGTTTTGAGGGCCTCCTTGACACGTTTTAGCTCTTTTTCTTTTCCATCTTTGTGTGTAGGCAACTTTCAGCCTGGTGATGTAGGATTCTGATCACTTCCATTTTGTGCTGGTGAGAAAATGTAAATAGTGATCTGTGGGGGGGGAGGCTTATGTAAACTTCAGTGTTAAGGCTTCCTTAATGTGTATTGCACAGTTCAAGAAGGCCAGACTATTTTCCTTAAAATCTTCCTGAGTAAACTTAATGTATCTGTCCACAGAGTTGGTGTGTTTGGTGAAGGCTTTCAATTCCTGTGCTTTAATCTTGACCCAAGTATCATTGATATACTTATATATAGTGGGTGGAATTCCTGTAAAGGAATTTAGGGCATTGGTTTCTAACCAATCTATTGTTTCTTAAAAGCAACATTTAGAGAAAAACTAATTATTCTGTAATTTATAGTTATTGTGAAAACTATCATACTAATCACTAGATATAAAATCAACATAGAAATATATAGGGATATTCTTTTATCTCTATGGATTTAATATCTAGCTTATCCTATATGTAGGTATTATGTGGCATACTTCTGAAATACTTCATTATAGTCAGGATTTGTATATCAAAGTCTTCTGGCATGGAGGAAAAGGAATTAGTTATTTCTCAAGTTGAGAAACTCAATTCTAAATTTCTTTTTCCCTCATTTCCCTAGGTCATTCCCACATCCCATTACAAATACCTACCTTACATATTTTAAAATAATTCTGTATGAAACTCCATTGAGCAGGTCACAAAGCAAAGTTCACACTATTATAGTTGTGTCCTGATATTACATGCAAATATATAGGGGAAGAATTTTGTGTAATCATATTGCGGCCCAGTTTTTTCATTCCCCACGCTACCCCCATGAATGTCTAGTTTTATTTTATTTTTTCACTTTGCTAAGTATATTATTTTTGCACTGTATTGCTTGTGCTCATATTATGATCAGAATATCTGTCACCACTGGGAAATACTTACTTCTATGCTTCCATGTTCAACATGAGATATTGTAATTTTTCATTAAAAGCAATCATATTTGTGTAGGTCCACTTCCTTTATTGGGATGAATCAGAGTAGTACAAAAGATTATGCAAGCTTTGAAATTTTCGTCAGGCAGCTGAATTCTGCATTTCAAAGTCATTTCCAAGGAGGTTTTACTTTACATACATAATTCATACTGGGTTTGTTGGCATTAGATTATACTTAGCATCTTCATGAGGGAAAAGGGCTTTTTAACATACATTCTCTTTCCCCCATAGCAAAACCTTACCATCCAGCTAACAGAGTTTTTGTTCTTTTGGAAAGTGCAGGCAGTTCTCTAGAGAGGGGAAATAATCAAGAAACTAAGGATTAGAGCTCTCCATCTTTAATAACAGAAAAATATGTAAGAAACTGGAAAAAAGTCAAGAAACAAGCAGGCTCAGAATATAATAGAAAATATTTAACAAGTTTAGTTAAAAATATTGCCAGGGATAATTTTTACTTACTTTGATAGCGTATACTTACAAATATTTTGTCTCTGGAATTTACAAGCTTAGTATTTCTATTTTCCAAATTAAATGGTGTATATATGATACAGTGAGAGCATATGCACCAAAGACAAATTCCTTGTGTGTCCAATCACACACAAAGAATTCTGTTCTGTTCTGTTCTGTTCTGTTCTGTTCTGTTCTATTCTATTTTCCATAGCGATGCTCAGCAATTCATTGGTGGGTTCTCTCATATTCGCTTGATAGAGACTGAGAGTGTAGTGTATCTTTAAATTTTCTTGTCTGACCATGCCTCCTGGTTCCTCTGCTTGTCAGTTATTTCTCTCAGTCTGAGGTATAGAGACGTGAGTAGTTTAGCTGTGCTCGCAGATTGCGAGATTTCTTGTTTTCTTTCTTAGGGTAGTTAGTGTTAATAGGTGTAAATAGTGTAAATAGTTTAGAATTTTTTAGATTAGGCTGAGGGAGCGAAATGGAAGGATTGAGTTGCTGCGCCTGCAGCCTGTCTTTCGCTGCTGGTGTGGGCGGGTCGCTGGGGATCCAGCTTGACTCCCCCGCCAATTTTTTGTTTCTTTAAGCAGCAATTGGAGCGTTTTTTCTTAAAAAAAGACCTCCGCACAGCCTGGGAGGCTGTTTTATTGGCCGCCAGTGTGTGTGTGGGATTTCTGGTCCGCTGGGTTTCCCGCTGCCACCATTTGCTCCCTCCTCAACGTGGCGGCTACAGAGTACCTGCTCGGGGCCCCGAGTCACACTCTGTCATTTTGAATCGCTTCGCAGCGCTTTAGGGGGCTTATTGCTTCTTGCGCTTGGATCGCCAGACTCTCTGAGGAATGGTTCGTCGTGTTGTGAGTAGAAGAGGACGGTCTGTGGCTTCTTTGCTGCGCGCCATTTTGGGACACCATTTTGTGAGCAGGCGGCCATTTGGGGATAATATTTTCCCGCCTTTTATTCTGGGGCCATCTTTGGCGAGGCTTTCACCTGTGGCATATTACTTTCTACTGTTTGCTGTTTGGCTTGTCCTCAGTCACAAATCAGTCTATTGAATCTATTTAATATTGACTTCCTGTCACTGCCTGTCAGTGTTGCTGGGTCTGACAAGGACTTATATACAGAAATGGCTGACCAAGAATTTTCTTCTGATTCAGAGCAGGCCCCAGCTACACCTAGACCCAGGAAGGCAACTAAAAAGAGCTCTAAGCCTTCTTCTTCCAAGTCCAAATCTGTTTCCAGCAGGTCCCACTCTGCTTCTTCCTCCACTGACAAGGAGGAACAGAAGGCATAAGGCCTTGGAGAGACAATTCTCAAAGGCACAAAAGAAAGCTCAGGAGGGGGTGGAAGTTCTCCCAGTTGTCAGGGAGACAGCACCTGTGAGTCACCAGTCTGTAGAGCTTCAGTGTCCTCAAATTCCTCCTCAAGCTCCTCAAACATCACTTCCTAGTTCTCAGGAGGATATTCAGGGTATTTCACAAGGGGTCTCTGCCTTAGTAGACCAGGACCTTCTGCGACCTTTACCCCCACTGCTGCAGGGCTCCGCCCACAGGAAGGGCTAGGTTGGCTTCCTCAATTTGATTTCCAAACCCTTTTTACTGATGCCTTGGCCAAGGCTATTGCTTCTGGGCTTCATCATGGGGGTCAAGGGACAGGAATACCAGCTTAGCATGTACCAGTTGCCCCTCCTCCCATGTCTGCACCAGTGGCTCAGGTGCAAATGGAGGTGGTTAGTAGTGATGATTTCGGGGCTGGAGACGCAGATCAAGGGGACCCTGAGTTCTCAGAAGATGAGGAGGTTATGCAGGACAGACCAGCATTCTCCACCTTATTCCAGCCTGAGGTCTTCAAGACCCTACTTAGAAAGGCCAAGATTGCAACCAACATGGGCACGATTGTTAATCCCGCTGACCAAGGCCAGGGGGGAATTCAACCTCATTGGGAGTTATTTGCAGTACCTGCGCCTGACCAGGATTTTATTCCTTGTCCTGAGCTATTTAAAGATGTAATCAAAAGACAATGGAAATCTCCAGGTGTTCTGTCGGCTCCTGGCGAGCACGATAAGAGACTATATTGTGCTGACCCGGTGTTAGAGGGTCTACTTGGTCTTCCGACTGTGGATCCTCCGGTGGTCAGCTTGTCATCCTCCACAGTTTTGTCTACTGATACTGTGGAGGTTTTGAAGTCAGATGACAGAAGGGCAGAGGTAATGTTTAGGAAAGTGCACCAAGCGGCCACTTGGGCTGTAAAGGCAGCAACCTCTGCATCATTTTTTAATAGGGCCACCCTGATTTGGCTTCGCCAGTTACAGGAGAGGCTTCCTCCTGATGACATCAGGATCAAACAGGACCTTAGCAAGTTAATAGCTGCCACAGAATATTCTGCAGACGCATTGTTAGATGTGGCCAGATTTGCAGCCAGAGCAATGGCCTCCTCTGTGACCTCTTGTAGGTTACTTTGGCTTAAGCCTTGGAAGGCTGATACCAAATCCAAATGGAAGTTGGCTTCCGCACCATATCTGGGTTCCTCCCTCTTTGGGTCAGCTTTAGATCCGATTTTGGTGGAGGGCAGAGATAAGAAAAAAGTATTACCGGTTTCATATAACAGGCTGGAACATAGGTTCACTCCTTATGGTCACCGGCAGCCCTTTCATGCAGAGTCAGGGCCCAGTGGGTCCTAATATAATAGATCCTTCTCTCAAGGGTTTGACCGTTCAGCCAATAGGCAGGGCTTTAGGGACTGGGGTACGTACCAGTCTACCTCCAAGCGTCCGTTCAGAGGCACAGGTTCTAGGGCCACTAAGCGAGGCAAATGACTCTCCGTCCGACTTTCCTATTGGGGGGCGGTTACATCATTTTCTTCCCCAGTGGGAAACCACCACATCAGACCCCTGGGTTCTATGGACGGTGGAAAAGGGACTGCTGTTGGGATTTCGAAACATCCCCAAGGATTTCTTCATTCGCTCCCCAGTTTCCCGTCACAGGGACAGGCAGGACAATATGAAGGCAGAGATCCAGCATCTGCTGGAAATTGGTACCAGAGAGAGTACCGGCAGAACAGGAGTGGACAGGTGTCTACTCCATTTTGTTCCTGGTGGCCAAGTCCTCTGGGGGTTGGAGGGCCATCTTGAACCTCAAGTACCTCAACACCTTCATTCGTTACAAGAGGTTCAAGATGCAGTCCCTCAAGACCATCCTGGACTGCATTCCGAAAGGGGACTTTATGACCTCCTTGGATCTCCAAGAGGCATACCTGCATGTACTGATCCATCCTCAACACCGCAGGTATCTCAGGTTTACGTATGCCGACTGGCATTACCAGTACCGAGCAATGCTGTTCGGTCTATCTTCCGCACCACGGACATTCACCAAACTTCTTGCCGCTGTGGCTGCTTCCCTTCGCCTGGTCCCCATTTGAATTCTCTGTTATCTAGACGATATTTTAATTCTGTCTCCTTCCCACCATCAAGCTCAACAGGATTTGCGGACCATCTGTCATATCCTGGATCTCCATGGTTTCTCCATAAATCACCGGAAAAGCCACCTGGATCCCACAACATCCTTCATACATCTGGGAGCGAGGATAGATTCGGAGCGGCTCCAGGTTTTTCTTTCACCAGACCGGCAACAGAACATCGAAGAGTTGGTCCATCACATTCTGTCCCTGAGCCATGTGACTTTGCTTAGCTTATCACAACTGCTTGGCAAACTTATCTCTTGTTTGTCAATAGTGCCGTGGTCCCGCAGACACTCGAGACCGCTACAGTGGTTTCTCCTCCCATTTCAGAGGACAGGACGCGGCTCTTCCACGACCCAGGTATCCCTTCCGGCTCAGGTACGTACTTCCCTCCAATGGTGGGTGTTGGGGGCTCTGTCGAAGGGGTGCGTGTTCCACGAACCCAACTGAGTGATAGTCACAATGTCACACACAGTTGACACACAACAGATGCGAGCCTCTCCAGCTGGGGAGCCCATCTAGGGACTCAGGTAGTTCAAGGGCATTGGTCACAGACAGACTGCCTACTCAATATCAATTTCTTAGAATTAAGAGCGGTACATCTTGCTCTGCTGCATTTCCAACAAGCTCTACTTCACCGACATGTTCTGGTCCTAACCGATAACATGTCCACAAAGGCCCACATAAATCGGGAGGGGGGCACTCACTCGCGGTCACTGATGACGGAGGCAGAATCCTTACTGGACTGGGCAGAGACTCACCTGTTATCACTGAGGGCGGAACACATCTCAGGGGCAGCCAACATCAGGGTGGACTGGCTCAGCAGGGAACAACTGGACCCGTCGAAGTGGAGGCTACATCCAGATCTATTTCAGGACTTGGTCCGATGGTTTGGCCTACCGTTGTTCGATCTCTTCGCCCAACCAGACAATCCCCAACTGCCCAGGTTTGTCATGAGGTTCCCTTGCAGAGGGGCAGAAGCCCACAATGCCCTCCGCTGCCCGTGGCCTCCGGGCCTGCTTTATGCATTTCCCCCCATCCCTCTCCTCCCATGCGTGATTTGCAAACTGTTGTCTGAACGAGCGGAGCTTCTGTTGGTGGCACCCTATTGGCCTCGTTGTTCCTGGTTTTCAGACCTGGTGACTCTTTCCGTGGACCGGCCTTGGCGCATTCCTCAGGATCGGATCTCGCTCAGCCAGGGGGTTATTCAGCATCCAAACCCCCAGTGGTTGCAATTAGCCATCTGGCGCTTGAGCGGATCCGCCTGAGGAAGGACAACATTTCAGGTGACGTCATTCATACCATCCAGGCCGCTAGGCGTCCTTCGACCATCAGAATCTACGACGCATCATGGAAGGCTTTCTGCCTCTGGTGTTCCACCGCCCATGTTGACCCTACGTCTGCAACCATTTCTGACGTTTTGGACTTCCTACAATCAGGTCTGTCCGAAGGCTTGGCTCCTTCAACACTGAGACGCCAGGTAGCCGCCTTGTCAACGGTATTGACTCTGGGTGATGTTCAGTCTCTCTCTCATGATCCTCGGATTAGAGGTTTTCTGAGGGGGGCCACTAACCTCAGGCCTCCTGTCATCCATCGTTACCCATCCTGGGATCTGTCCCTAGTGTTAAAGGCCCTTATTTCTGCCCCCTTTGAACCATTGGCATCAGTTAGTCTCCATTTTTTAGTCCTTCAAACTGGCATTTCTTCTTGCCATTACATCGGCAAGGAGGATCTCTGAACTGGCGGCGTTATCTGTACGTAGTGACTTGTGCATTTTTCGCCCCAACACTGTTGTGCTAAGGTTAGATCCTTCCTTCGTGCCAAAAGTGAACTCGGCATTCCACAGGGGGCAAGAAGTTATCCTGCCCGACTTTTGCCTGCAGCCAAGACATCCCTTAGAGATCCAATGGCACATGCTGGATGTTCGAGGGGCCTTACGTTGTTATATTGCCAGGACTGCATCCTTTCGTAAATCAGAAGCACTCCTAGTATCCTTTCACCCAGCATCCATGGGAAAAAAGGTATCCTCACAGACTGTTGCCAGATGGATTAAGGCTTGCATTTTAAATTGGGATATTTTAAATTTCTGGGATTTTAATTGGAGCCTAATTATTTAATGATTTTAAATTTTAAATTGTTGTCGTGTTTTTTGTGTTTTTAAATAGGCTGTACACCGCCCTGAGTCCTTCGGGAGAAGGGCGGTATAGAAATAAAATTATTATTATTATTATTTCTCTTGCTTATAGCTCTCAGGGCAAGCAATTGCCGGGAAGGGTCTGAGCCCATTCCATGTGTAGCGCGGCTACGTCTGCTGCCTGGTCGACACAGACTTCCATGCTAGACATTTATCGGGCTGCCACATGGACATCCCTCTCGCCCTTTGTTAGACACTATAAGTTGGACTCATTCGCCTCGGCTGAGGCCTCCTTTGGGCGGAGGGTACTCCAATCTGTCCACTCTCCTGGGCTCCCGGGATCCAGCCAGCCTCCCTCCCACTGACTCTTGCTTGGGCATATCCCACCAATGAATTGCTGAGCATCGCTATGGAAAATGGACGTTGGCTCACCTGAACATCCCTTTTCTTGGCGATGCGAAGCAATTCAACTCACCGCTCAGGTTGCCTGGGGGCGGGAGGACTCCCGGGAGGTTGTTCCTTTGTTTCTCCTTAGGTCACATCTTCTGTGGGTGTCTTCGAGAAATAACTGACAAACAGAGGAACCAAGAGGCATGGTCAGACAAGAAAATTTAAAGATACACTACAATCTCAGTCTCTATCAAGCGAATATGAGAGAACCCACCAATGAATTGCTTCGCATCGCCAAGAAAAGGGACGTTCAGGTGAGCCAACGTCCATCCTATAGTTTAGGAACAGTCCAGCATCATCATCTATTTTGACCATAATCTTGTGTTTCCGTTTGTTGTTTTATGAGAGGTACTTTCAAGTCACTATCTGAAATTTGAACAACTCTGCATGTTTATATTCATTGACTTTAAATATTTATTTGGGACTGCTTAAACACCAAATATATATATATTTTTGGCTTTAAAAGCATGATTTTACAGTAGTCCTGCCCTATTTAGTAACCATTCAAAGTCACAACTGTGCTGAAAAAATAATTTTATGTCCAGTTCTTGAACTTATGTCTGTTGCATCACCCCCATGGTTAAATGATCAAGATTTGGGTGTTTGCAACCTGTGAGTATCTGTGAATGTGATCATGTGATTGCCATTTGTTTACTTCACAATTGGCTTGAGTCAAAGAAGAAATTGGCAGTAAAATTCTTAGTCACCTGATATCTCACCTCAACTGCAGGTGATTTGTTTAACAGCTATAGTGGAAGTGAGGCTATAAGTCCGTCCTGGTCACATGTTGTCTTGTATGGTGACCTCATTGTTTAGTGACAGAGTTGCCAGTGCCATTTGTGGTTCTTAAGAGTGGATGTCTGTATTTCTCTTTTGTAAGATCCTCTGAAAAAGAGGAAAGAAAAGAAAAGGCTGATTTTTCTAGTTACAGACCTCAATTCCAGAAGATGGCACTATAGATTTAATTTTTTCTCATATTTTTACTCCTTAATTTTATAGAAAATGTGGGTACCCTGTTTCTCTTACATATCATGGCAGCAGAGAGAATCCCATGTAAAACACTCTCTAAAAGGTAGATGGTTGCAATAAGTGCTACCACACAGAAGGCAGGAGATGGAGCTAGGTGTAAAGAAGTTGTCACGTTCTGGGAAAGAAAAAATAGATTTTTAAACCATGGCAGATGAGGAGGTGGTAGATATTTCAGCTTTATCTCTTAAGTGAGAGGTCAGTCTGCCATTAGGTCTGGCAGAAGAGGCATGCTTCAGGTTTCATTTACAAAGGAATACCATCTGGTGGGACTGCAAAAGAGAGCCTTTTCTGTCACAGCAACCGCCTTCTGGAATGCTGTCCCCACAAATATTTGATTGACAGGAAGGTTGAGAACTCCAATCTTTTATAGACTCAAACATGCAATAACATAGCATATATAAAACTACACACACACACAGACACAGACACAGACACACACACACACACACATGCTGTATGTCTGTGTGTGTGTGTATAAATTCCTTATATAGTAGTTTAATTTTTTATTTCAAATGTCATCATCTAATTGAATGAGTAATTATTCCTTATAATAATTATAAATTATTTATTTATAATTTCAACTTTTATAATGATCCATGAATGTTAAGCTCTGATACCATTCCTTTAAGTTCTCAAATAGGAAGAATTAGATATATAAAGAACACAATTTTCTTAAATAGTATGATTACATAGATATAGTAGAAAGGTAATATCAGGCATGGAGATATATCAAGAAGCTACTAATGGATTTCAAATATACAATAATGAAATTTTCAAAGAAAGCAAAACGTTTCTTACTATTAAAATGCATCATCTTAGATATTCACTTAATCTGAATTATATAAGATTCTTTTCTATAATGCTGCACATTACAGTTGTAAATAGTTTGTTTTCCTCTCTATGTAATTATGTACATATTTAATTTCATTGACAGTGGCAAATAACATTGACTCTACTTTTCAGGTGCAACAATGAGAATGAATGGCATCAGATCCATGAAAATATAATTCGCAAGTCGAGCACCAAATATACAGCACCCAGTTCAAATTATGGTAATATTTTATTTTAGCTCTTTTTAAGATACATATTTTTTTTGGTAATGAAAACATTATACTTGCCACATAGTTCATATTTAGAGCCTATGGCCATGAACAGTCCTCAAGGAATTATCTTTCTTGTGTATAAAAATGTGGGTGTAGAGGCTGGAGATTTTGCAGAACAAAAAAGCCTTTTAAAAAAAATCCAGTAACCTCTTCAGCATTGCTAATTATTAGTAGCCATGAAATATACCTCTTACTTGAGATTTATATTTCTGGCTTCAAGTTGATGTCACATGATCAATGAGGAAGCAGTGTTCTGTACCTGCTTACCAGGTTGTTTCCTCCTCCCCCAAACATATTTGCATATTTTTCTGGCAAGGAGGGGAATACAGATAGTATAGCATGCAAGAAAGAATGATGAGATTGGGAAGTTTGCAGGGGGCACTGCTAACATCCTGGAGAGGGAAAAGAACTCATCCTTTCTCCTAGGACAGTGATGGTTAACCTTTTCAGCACCGAGTGCTGAAACGAGCACACACACGCGCGCCTGCGTGTGCATACACTGGAGCACCAGAACCCGGAAAAGAGCAGCTGGCCGGTGCACATGCGCTTGGCAGCCAGTTGCTCTTCCAGGTTCCGTTGTCCACATGTGCGCCGGACAGCTATTCTCTTCCAGGTTCTTTGCGTGAAGACCAGCAAAGAATCCTGAACAGAGCAGCTGTCTGGCGTGCATGCGCACAACAGAACCCAGAAGAGCAGCTGGTGATGGCACGGGTGCCCACAGAGAGGGTTCTGCGTGCCACCTCTGGCATGCATGCCATAGGTTCGCCATCACGGTCCTAGGACATATTTAGATTATGGGTTTGAAGCAAATCAATACTTAACATAAAAGGTGCATGTAAGGAAACTGATGCAGAATGGCAAGAATTCTGTTATTAATTATAATAGTGTTGTGTGTTACAAAATAGGACCAGCTTGAAACACTTGCTTGACATTATTTTCAAATGCATACATCTAATAACTGCATCAACAATTAACACTCATCTGTAAAATTGGCTGTGGCACCTGCGTATTGTAAAACCAGATGTAACTGACTGAAAATAAGAAAGTGTGGATAACTGGCAGTAATGGGATAGTAGAGTAGAAGAGAAAAAATCAGAGAAGATCACACAGTATCAAGTTTTAAAATTGAACTTGAAAGATTATGATATAAATTGGCTATGGTGGTTATCAGCACATGGAGTGCCATACCAAAAAAAGCCTTGGATGATACTTAGGAAATCTGTGTATTGACAGAATTTCCATCTGTCAATTACAAAAGGCCACACTGTTTGGATCCACCCATAATATATTGATATGTTATGACATCCTAGGTTCACCAGCTAAAAAACAGATGAAATTTCACATTGTTATGTATGTAATTTACTGAAATAGGTGGCTATAGAAATCAAACAAATAAGTAAATTAATTAATAATAATAATAATCAAACATCAAAAACACCTGCCAGGCTATCTCACCTCCTTTACATGAATCTAAAGCTGTATGGGAAAACACAGCCAAGGTATTGCAATGAAGTTTAGACTGGACAAATTTGTTTCATTACATCTGCTCTGTCATACTTGTCATCTTTTATTGATTTTATAGTATTCTTTTTATTTGATCGTTGTGAGCCACCCAGAATCAGACAGCATAAAATTTAACATTTTATTATGGTTGCTGCACAGTCAGCCATATGTTTAGATTGGGCTTGGCATTTTTATTCACCTATCAAGTCCTTCCCAAGGACCTGGACGAAGTCTGTCTCTACTAATTACCTCCCTGAAATCTGAAAAACTTTCAGATAATCTGCTTCCTCCAGGCTTCTCAACAGCTGCAGAGTGACCAATATGTCAACAACCTTTCTCCAAAATGTTGGACTGGTTGGTAGTTGTTGAAAACCCCTGTGCCTGCCATTTTCATCTGCATAAAATTTGATATATTCTGTTTTGACACCTGATAAATCAGTGTTGCTTAATGTGCTTTGATTGCTTCATATCTAGATTATTAAAACATCTCATTGACATGTCTTCCTCTTCTTCATTGGTCCAGGTTTAAATTGCTGGTTCATGTTGTTTTAAATGTTTTAATACACTTCAAAGCCCTGCACTGGCTAGCAATTAGAGCCAGGTGCCACTAATTTGTTTTTATTTTTTGCCTTTTGGGTATTGTGACGCTGTATAACTTCCTTCATCTATATTGTTAAACAAGTATATAAACTTAAAAACTACTCAACCAGCCTCCTTAGCACTTTTGCTATTCCTGTTACTCTAAGAGCAACTTTGGGATTGATTTAGCCCCAGAGTTTTAGAGTTGTTACCCTTGTACTCTTAGGATGACACAAAAAGTTTTAGGCTTTAAATCTAGGCTTAAACTTTTCAGTTATGAGTAATAGAGGATTTTGTGATTAGACAGTTTAACATGTGGACTGCTCAGTAACAGGCCTGTTTGACTTTTATATTGAATACGGCTTAATTTTATTCAATTTAATTAGTTATATATTTAGTTTTTATAGGTCAGGTTTATTATTTTCATTGTAAAAAGACTTCCCTTTTGCTATGACATTATTTCTTTTATAATTAGAACTGCCTAGTTTTTAAACTATCTACTTTACATTATTGTATATTCTAATTTAATTGATACTTCGTTATTTATATTCTTTGTATAGTTTTATCAGTTATAAGTATATATCATTAATATGTATTAATGTTAATATATATTAATATGTATCATTAATATGTATTAATATATATCATATAATAATTGTTATTACCACCAATATAATACTCTTTTGAGAACTGTGTTGGTTACCATTTGGTTTCTGAGTACAATTCAGGGTGCTAGCTTTTATTTAAACCTTACTTGGTTCACAACCTGGATATCTGTACACCATTTTGTCCTACTAATATTTTCCTGCTTGTGGGAAGTGGCCAATACTGGGCAAAAGTCATTTAGTTTTAATCCTATTTATTTTACATACTTTTTACACATACTACCGTATATTTCTATGACGTATTTTACTTGCTCACTGTTGAATGTTATGTCTGCAATTTGAAGGTGCTTCTGACAAGAACAAAGAAAGATCTTTCCACTTGATAAAATGGTGTAGGATAGTCTCTTTGTATCCTGTCACTTGGCATTACCATTTGCAGGAGTTGCCCCTCTCTGAACAAATACACATCTAGAATTGTTTTGTGCTGCTCTTTCTACTGTGTTGAAGAGGATAATCTCCTATATTATTTTTTGCTGCTCAGACATTAAAAATATAATAATTCTTATTCTCTGATAACGTAGTATTATGTTGTCTTTAACATCATTCTGCTACATTGTATTTTTAATTTGTTTCAGGGTAAATTGAATTGTAAGGATCTAATTTTGTTCCTTTTTTTCAGGACTTATCATTTCTCTTCAAATTGTCCGTGGAGAAATGGAACAAATTCGAAGAGAATATCCTATTATCTTTAACAGAGGGGTGTCTATTACAAGAAAAATAGGATTCCCAGATGTGATCGTGCCTGGTAAGTGAATGAAAGTTCCATGTATAGCACTTATTGAATGCTGGTCTTTATCAATGTAAATAGTACTATAAAATAAATATTAAATAAAAGATGTAGCTGAGTGATTTAATTGTAAATAGTAATATTTTACTAAAAATAACTTGACAGAACTAAAGCTTATACAAGAATGTTCTTTTTATTTTTTTTCTCCATGAAACCCCTCCTTATAACTTACATAGAATTATAACTCCAATTGTAATTTGATAATGCTTGCTATTCTGCTTAGATTTTAAGTATGGGGATGAATTTTTTATAGATGGTTTTAATGCACCACTTTTTTTCTTTCTAAATGTTACTTTAGATGATATGAGCATGTTTTAGAAGTCAGTCTTAAATTATGAATGAATGCGTATATGCAATGTATGGGTCTTCTAACTAGTTCTCCAAATGCCTATCTTGGTTTTAAACCACAGATATACATTAGTGTAAGAAAGCTTGTGTTAGTAAGGATTATGTTACTCATGAAATCCCTTTTGTGAGCCCTACAGAATTTCAACATTGAAATAGCAGTTTTTAATGCTGTATGGAATACTGCTTTCAGAATGAAAATGGTTTCAAAAGCACTTTGATCATGTATCAGCTTTTCAGCAAACAAACATTTCCATTGTTTTGATTCCTCCTTATTGAAAATTTGACTTTCATCTTCTTTTAGTACTTCAAGAAAGGAATTACAGTATCAAAAATACTACAATTAGAAATTATAAGAGGTTTAAAAAGGTACTTGTTAAGTACTTCCAAGTGGTTTTTTAGTTCTCTGTCACTTAGAATTTTAGTACAAGGAGGATTTTTAATTAATACAAAAGGCAGTGACAGATAAAATTAAATTGAATTTGTTTATGTTTAGTATTTCATTATAATGTTGCTTTGTACCACAATAATTTTATATTAAAAAACAATATAAGACTGCTGATTTCAGTATCAAGCAATATTTTGCACTTTTGTGTTCTGAGATTGGTACATTTACAAAATTCAGGAGATGGCTCATTCTGTTTTTTGAAAAACATTCTGATGGCACACATCCATCAGAACCCTCCTTCCCTGAGCCTCCCTGTGCTCGCATGTACCCTGTATCCCATTTTCCTGGCTACCCTGAGCTTCTGCCACATTGCATCACCTACCAACTCATACATGGCCTGGGCTCAGTCTCTCAGGGCTATCCCCAGCCCCTTTGTGGCACCCTTGATATTTTATCATGAAAGTAAAATCGGTGAAGTCTCCTTAAAATTGTGCTTCACTTTTGATGCATTAATCTTTATAGGTTTTGGGGAGGAACAATACAGAAGGATTGCTTTCTTTCAGGATGTGTTTTTTTTTTTTAAACTTCTGACTTAGTATATAGTTCTGGAATTACCTGGCAGTTTCCTATCCAAGCAGCATCCAACCTTGAACAGTGCTTAGTTTTTAAACACTCAGCAGGTGATGCTCCAAGCATTGTTATTATTAGAAATTATGAGTGAGTCGAATATAATACTTAAGAATTTACCCAACATATCTCTTTGGTTCTTGATTTTTATTTCATGTGTGGTCACATATTTCTAATCTATTTATTTGCAAACAAGTGAACATCTTTTCCCTTTTTCTCAATTATTGAATGTATTTTGTTTTTAATTACTCATAAAATGTGTGTTTTAACATTTAACTGTCAATAATACTTGATTTTATCTTTCTTGTCTAAATTTTCTTGGCACCCTGTTTATCTTCCCTTCATTCTCTCCACTTAATGGCACAGAGATGAAGATAGTTGGGTGTAAGTTGTTGCTTCATTGTGTTCTGACCATTTATTGCTTGCTGTTTTTCACATTTTCTACGCCATATTTTACCCCATAATTTTAACTGAATGTTTAAAATTCATAAATATAATATAAGTTAGCTATGCTGATGGTGTATGCCAGAAAATACTTCCCATTACCCAGTATCTTACACATTCTGACTAAATGAATTCTCTGAGCTGTGTTCACACACTCATAGTTTCCCCCACTTCAGAGTGTTTAGAAAGTATGGGGATTACTTTCTGGAATGGAACAGTTATAAGAATATACCACAATTCCAGATTGGCGTTTTGTCATCACTGTATTGTATTCATTGGTGTTTTTGCCACCCAAACTAATACTAGTGAATAAAATTATCTACCCCTCCTGTGCATCCTAAATTACTCTGAAAAGATAGGGAAAATTAAGTTATGAAATAAAGGCAAGAATACTTGGAAAAAATATAGATTATCTTATTTCCAGTTCAGTTTACTTATGAGATATCCTTGGAATACCCAGCAGCAAAAGGACAAAGATAGACAACAAGAAATAGCATTTCATTACTATCTATGACAATTTATGAAAAAGATATTTATGCTTGGGAGCAGTAAGTGGCAATGGGGCAAAGCCTATTTCTCTTATTATCTCACTTTTTATTTATAAACCAAGTTTTAGGTTTTCTATTGATGTCGCTATTGTTGTTTTCATTTTCTGATGTTTGTGTTCCTCACATCCTTTTTCTATGTACTGTATTACATGGGGTCTAAACCTTCCATAGATAGCAATTTATTTGTTGTAAAATTGTAGTATACACAAATTTTCTCCAAAGAAAGGAGATTCTTCCAGTTTCGACCATGCAGTTCTACGTTTATATTTTACATGTCCTTATGGATACAAGTACTAAGGCTTATGATTATATTATTGAAAAGGATAACACAATTATATTTTCTAGAATACAGTCCTAATTAAGTAATATTGCTGTTGCAATTTTTTAAAAAAGTGTTATGGGTGGTTTTTTAATCTTGTAGTTTATTATGTTTTTAATGTTTTAAGTGAATATTTTGATCTTGTAATCTGCCCAGAATCTTTTGGAATGGGTCCCCATAATAAATATAAAGTGTTTGGTTAAGTATGGCTGTTGACCAGTGCTGTGAAAGTGTGAATGACCATAAGCCACTGGATCATATGTAACAGCAGCAATGTCCTTTTTGGAGGGTAGTGACTTTCTTCTTGCAACCTTATCACACATCTCATTTGTTGTTCAGTGTTTTCCTGATGATGGTCGCATAAATAGTGGCATTTGCCAATGTAAGAAAGGCCTTTGATTGAAATATTTGACTCTAATTTCCCCTTCAAAAGGACTGGTAATCCTAGATTTCATATATTTCTACCACATACAAATACACAATTATGGATCATTTTCCTCAATAAATAAGTATACTATTTTTGATATATTTGTTTAATTGAGTTCTTGTTATCTAGTTTTAGAACTTGTGATATGGGAAATAAATTATTTTTCAGTTATATTTATGCAGAAATATTGAAAATTCAAAAGAATTCACAAACCTTTAAGCACCACTTTGGTTGCTTAAAATTTGATTTTTTTTTTTTCAAATTGCTGTGTAGACCTGTCCTACAGAGGGGATGGGAGAATGTATGCAATAAAAGTTAGAGTATTCACTTTATTGTTTACAACTGTTGTATTGTTTACAAATGTTTATAAATTAGCTATCAATGTGGAAATAGAACACTCTTAAATGATTTGACCATTTATTTGTTAACTAGATAATTTAAAAGGAATTTGAAAATCTTACCTCCTGTCCTCTCCCTCTCCTTTGTCTCATAATTAGTTTCCTGTTTTCAGACTCCATAAAGCATTACTAATAGCGATCAAATATAATACACTGATAATAAATGTTCATTTTTGTTAACTATTCATTTTACAATTGGAATGAGTTGATATCTCATCATAATAGTGAACAAAATATCATTGGTTTGTCCAAAAGAATAATTTACTATGTGCTCTTTTCTAAAAACATTTTCTCTCCTTGTATGTAGGTGATATACGAAATGATTTGTACCTGACTTTAGAGAAAGGAGACTTTGAGAGGGGTGGAAAAAGTGTTCAAAAGAACATAGAAGTAACTATGTACGTTCTCTATGCAGATGGAGAAATTCTAAAGGTCAATATTTACATACTTTATTCAATGTATTTCTGTCATGGTTGGGTTTAAATTCTTTAAAATTCAAAATCTTTTATATGTGGAAGGGTTGAAATTCTTAATCAAATCTTCACTTTAAATTATTGATGAACTAAAGCAAAAAATAGAAACATTTCTTTTTCCGCTAGAAAAATTGCTTATTGTACTGGTTGTTATTCAAGATTCTTTTGCATGATTTAATCTGCTCTATTTTCTATCCAAGAATATCTAGCACCAACTGTGTTTTTTAGATGAACTATTTAATTTATTATTACATCACTTTTCCATCTTTTCACCAAAATGTTCATGGAAACGTAGCATGGTTTTTCTCCATTTTACACTGTGGTCTGATTTTCAATGAGGATTCCAACCACAAAACAATACTATTTGCATGTCGAATGCTAATTAACCCTCCCAAGAGAATCCACACATTTCAAATGGTATTGCATTGCATAGCATATTATAAAAACTGTATCTTCTCTTTTCTTATATCTGAAAGCTGAAATCAATGAAATATTTTAATAATATTGAAGACCTCACTCTATCCACATTACAGCATAGTATACATAATCAATTGTCAGTTCCTTTTAAGAAAATTAATCTTGTCTTCACTTTAATGGCTTTCTAACTAATTATACTAGACTTTTTTTTATTGGTTTTTATTGTGAAATATAGAAATACAATTCAACATTTTTCGGTTCCATGGTGTTAAATATAAATACATATTATTTACATATTATTTACATAGTATTGCATCTTTGCTTGTATATGATTTAGATATTAATTACAAATAGTAATGGACAGTTCTTTATGATCATATATATAAGTTATTTACTTGTTGTTTACATAGATTACAACCTTAATTCAGTAATGCACATAGTAATAGTTAACTCTTTATGATCATTATTAGTTAACCTTTATACTTCTCAAACTTCACTTTTTGTTTCTTTTCTCTATCCACTCATACCACAGCTCCCACACATTATAATATTCCGTGTTCTCTCTTTCGTTAAGTTCTAATGTTAGCTTATTCATTTCGGCGCACTCTAATATTTTCCTGATTACTTGTTCTTCGGGTGGTAGTTTTTTCTCCTTCCAATACTGAGCGTAGGTTATTCTTGCCGCTGTCGTTATATGTATAATTAGATACTTCTTCTTTTTTTCATATTCTGTTTTCAGGATTCCCAGGAGAAAGATTTTCGGTTCAAAATCAATATTATCTTTTATTATTTATACTAGACTCTTTCTATCTATCAATGTTTCATTTTTAAGTTTTTGTATTCACCCATTTTAACCATTTTAAATTATGTTCATGTGGTCCTGTTAGAGCAAAGCAATAGATTTTAGACTCAGGGAAGAAGTTGAACACGCAGAGGAAAACCATCTGTATATCCATAACCATGATAGTCACTTATTTTATTTTATTTTTTTAATTTGATTTATATGCCGCCCTTCTCCGGAGACTCAGGGCGGCTTACAGTGCATTCAGCAATAGCCTTCATACTTTTGTATATTTATACAAAGTCAGCTTATTGCCCCCACAAACTGGGTCCTCATTTAACCTACCTTAGAAAGGATGGAAGGCTGAGTCAACCTTGAGCCTTGGAGAGATTCGAACCAGCAGTAAATTGCAGGCAGCTGTGTTAATAACAGGGTGCTTTAAACCACTGTAGTACCAAGGCTCTTCTTTGCATATTCTTAATTTTTTGTGGTAATTAACTTCATGGATCATGTACTGAATTGTTTTAACACTTATGCTATTATTGTTTCCACCCTGGGCTAGGCGTGTACACACACATTTTTTGTATTTTCTACTCCTTTTCTTTTTCTAAGTCCATACTTTGACTCAATGAATTAACTATTTTGGAATAGTCTTCTGAGGTTTTTCACATTAGGAACTTGAACCCATAATCCAGCCTCAGCCTCCAGGGAAGTCTGTACCATGTTTGGCCCCAGGATGCAACAATGATGCAGTTTCAGCTTCACTCCAGGCTATCACAGCAATACCCTTAACCATATTGGCTCCTATTATCCCCAAGTCACCTCATTCAGTATGTTCTATCCTCCCTGCCATAACACTGAAATTATTTTGTATTATTTAAACAAAGCTTAAAAAAAGCTGGGGAAGTTTACTTTTATTGCTTGTTTAGATATTGTTAAATTAGGTTAACCCTAAAATTCAGGAAATGGTTACCAAATTTAACACCACAATTTTGGCTATTTATTTATGTATTTAATTTGCCATCCATCTCGTATCAAAATGACCCTGAAGGGCTTTCAGCATTAAAATGCTAACAGATAAATATTTCTACAACAATAAAATGGAAATCACAATCAAAATAATATTATAGTTAAAGGACGGGGAATGGAACAGGATGTGCATGGGGCGGGGAGAGGAATTGCTTCTTAATTCATCAGCCACATCCAGTGTGATGCACCCCAATTGGGACCCCAAACCATTTCATAGAGCCAGGTCTTCAGGTTTTTACAGAAGGATCTTCAAAAGAGTGAGAGACAATCTCACCTCAGAGGATAAAATGTGCCAAAGGGTAGGAGCCGTGGCAGATAATGTTCTCCTGGGACTCAGTCAGCTGGAATTCCTTGACTGACAGGGCCCACAGCATGCCCTCTCTGCCAGTCAAATTAAGCATCTAATATAAGGAAGAGAAAAATGGGAAAGAACTGGAAAGTGCGAAATAGGATAGGAAGGTGAAATATTTTCAGTTCTTCCTGGTGTATTCTGTCTGTAAACTGATGTTAAGTTCTTACCTTTATTAATAAATACTTTTAAAATTATTTTCAATCAGCTAGGATAATTGTGAATAATTTATAATGATTATTAAGTAGTGATAATGCTCTATAATTTCTTGTCAAAGTCCTTCAATAATGCTATATTTGTATATTTCCAAATCTCAGGGATCTTTCTTCCCTATAAAATAAAATTCATTATATTTTGCAAAGATTGTAAAAATTCATCCTCAGAGCATTTATGATAAGAACCTGTTAATCCATCTGGTCCTGGCATTTTTCTTGGTTTAATCTTTTTTTATAGCTTCACAGTTCATTTTTCCCTATTTCTTTTACTGTTAATATTGACAACTCTTTCTATAAAAAATTAATTTGATGAGAGATAAGTTATCTTCCCTGGAGAGTTCTTTAATTCTTCTTTTTATTTCATCTAAAATAGACTGGGTTTTCTCTTGACTCTTGTAAAAGTTGAGTATTATATTTATTTGTTCAACTTATATGCCGCCTTTCTCTGAAGACTCAAGGCGGCTTGATATATAATATATCCTCTTTAATGAAATAGGCTTTTCTTGCATCTCAAACTATACTTATGTCAGTGTCTGCATTTAGATTATTTTCAAAAAATTCTGTTAATTTCTTTTTACAAAGTCTACTCATCAACTCTATTTCACCACAATCATCAGCACCACTTTTAGCGGAGCTCTTTCCAGTTTGCTATTTCTTCTCTAGAAGTCTTTACCATATCCACTCTTGAATTTTCTGTTTTTGTAGAAAAAGGTATACTACTCAAGCCCGGTGTTCTACTGTTAAGATTCATCCCACCACATTTCTGTAACTCATATTACACCATACATATCTTTGTTCTTTATGATATCAATCTCACCTTGCTAGTTTTCCATACCTTGTCCAATAATATAAAGGCATTTAGGGTAATGGGTTAGGCTCACTTTTTGTTTCCTTTTATGTCTTTACTTTAATATCTGTACTTCTTTTGCTTTTTTTAAGCTCCTAATATCACTACACTAGAATTTTTTTGTTGTATATAATACATTGTTAGCCAATCTGCTACTCATTTATTCCTACCCCTTTGCATTCTAATTTAAAGCCTTCCTGACCAGTTTAACTAGTCATCATCCAAAGATATACTTTCCTCATCCAAAGATGTACTTAGATGTAGATAACTATACTTAATGTCACATAGAAAACAAATCAATCATAGTACAATATTTTTGGCTGGGAAGTTTAGCTATTTCTGTAGAAATACATAACTTCCTAAAGTTTAGGAGAAGGAATGACAGAATCTGGCATCAGAGTGCAAAAAGGATCAATCGTTACATACCCACAAAGAAAGCCCAACCCATTTGATTGTTGTTGGCCCTAACCCCAACCCTTATGTAATTCTATTAACTATTATCTGAAAAGATTTCTGTGCATAAATATCTATGAGTTTTTCAGTCATCCAGGTCATGGTTGTCCCAAAGGTGCTTTTTAAAAGGCAACTAGACTTTCTTAGTTTATTTCCTTAAAACATTCTGTTTCTCATCCAAGAAACTTCTTCAGTTCTGACTGAAGTTCTATCAGAACTGAAGGAATTTCTTGGATGAGAAGCAAACCTTTTTCAAGGAAATAAACTAAGAAAATCTAGTTGCCTTTTTAAAAGCACCTTTGGGAATGTCTGTGCATAGGCTTTAGCAGTAATTCAGTTTCATTGAACCTTCACTTGTGGACCTGGTATTTTGCACCTGACATAAAGCAAAATTACCCTTTACTTATAAGATTCCTGGATTACTCTAGCTTTGTGGGGATTCCAGGCTTTCCACAGAGACTGTTTTGGAGACAGAAGACCGAATGTGTTCCCTCTCTCTCCCTTTCTCTCTCTCTCTCCCTCCCTCCCTCCCTCCCTCTCTCCCCCTCCCTCCCTCCCTCTCCTGTGGAATGTGAATTGACCGTCTGACAAAGGGGTACATGCACAACACAGACTAATTAAAATATACATAATGCTTGTATTGTTAGCATGAAGTTGTTAGTATCTTGTATCATCATGTTTAGTGTAATATTTTAGCATTCTTACCTTGTACCTTTTTTTTCCGTAGGACTGCATTAGCTTAGGCTCAGGAGAATCAAATAGAAGTATGTATCATTCCTTTGTTCTCTATCATAATAATAGCCCTCGCTGGGGAGAGGTCATCAAACTCCCAATTCCCATTGACAGATTCCGTGGATCTCACCTCCGTTTTGAATTCAGACACTGTTCTAGTGAGTATAACTTGTTAATATTTTACATATTTTTATTAAGGATTATATTAAATAGATAAGGCAAATAACCAAAACCTACAAAAATACAGGTAGCCCTCGATTTACTGCTTCACTCAACGACCGAACTCTGGTACCTCAGGGAATGGGGGAAGTTTTGGGAGGCCTCGGCCAGCTATAGGGCTCATCAGTGTACGTAAACCTTCTATGTGCCGGAATGCCTGGCCTCTCTTCCTGTCCCACCATGCCAAGTAGGCCTGGGCCTTATCACTTATCACTGGACCACTTCATTACATCCAAGAGGCCTTCTCTCTGCCAACTTCTGTTTCTTTTAATATCTTTTTCTCTTCTCTAGAAATTCTTATCACCTTTCAAGGTCCATTTGTAATTGTCATGATGTAACTCAAGTAAATCTCCTACAATTCAATTTAAAAGAATATTCCACAATTTATTTTTAAATTTTTATATACAGTATTTTAAATGTTACAATATTTGTGGTATAATATAAGAAATTATAAAAAATAAAGATTTCACAAAGCTGGACAGATGTGGTGTTCTTTCTTTTCAAAATGGATTGAAGAGAATTCCACTCAGCGACTGGTAGATCTATGGTTCTGCAGATTTTTCTTCTTAAAAAAACACTAAGAAAAGTAAAACTCCAAAGTAAAAAGATGAGCTTTGTCTGAACCTTGAGTCCTGAAAAGCTGTATATATTGGCTTGGAGCATGATGGAATCCACAACTTCCAGCTGATCACACGTGGCTCCAAAAATAACGGCTTCTGCTATCTGTTCATATAAATTAGCTGTCCAAAGTACATGAGGGCAATCTCTAGTTCCAGAAGAAAATTCAGCAGTCCTCATTTCATATCTAGCTGCCCCTGCAAAAATGCAGGCATTGGTTTTCCCCTCATCAGAAGCATTTCCAAGTATAACATGTTTCTCTAGCTGCAGGAAATCTAATTGTCATATTTTGCATGTTTTCAATAGATTAGTGCATAGATCAGGAAATCATTTGAAAATATATGACAAAGTAAATTATTGCAACTATATCAGCCAGTAATTGTCACAGGAACTTACCTAATTTATAGCTGCGCAAATATAAAAGTAGTTGGAAGCAGTGTTTTTTTATTCTTGCAATTTTATGACATGTCAGGTTGTGAATGACTAGTCCAGAATCACCCACAGAATTGCATGCTCTAGTGAAGATATGAACCCTGACTTGTTTAGTTATACAGTACATATGTAGTGTGACTATCATAGCATATTGACTTTCCATTTCTTACAGATAACCTAAAGACCTAATCTGTCATTTTTAAAATGTGTGTAAATATTTGATTTTGTTTTGCAGCAAAAGATAAAGGAGAAAAGAAGCTCTTTGGCTTTGCGTTTACACCATTAATGAGAGATGATGGTACTACCCTATCTGATGATATTCATGAGCTTTATGTTTATAAGGTAGTATTCTTCATTTTTTGTATTTTGATCCTTCCATGATTGTATCCTCTCTTTGGCTTATATTTAATGTCATAAACACATCTGCTTGAATAGAGGTTTGCACTACAAGATCTCCAAGGCCCCCTTCCAATTCTGTCATTCTGTTCCATAAAAGTTTGTAGTTTTAACTTTTCTAAATAAACAGTCAAAATATTGCAGTTAGTAATCATGAAAAAGTATTACTAAAATTTCTGTTCCTTTTTTCTTGTTTTATATTAAAGCCATCTGAGCACAATATTAACACAAATTGTAAAAAGGTTCCTTATTCACCATTTTGGGGTGTTCTGTTACTGCTTTTTGATAGAACAGAGTATCCCACACAGATTGTGAAAAAAATAGTCCATTTAGCAAAGAACAATATTTTGATTTGAGTTGCTAGAATAGATATTTAGAATCCTTGACAGGTAAAATAAATGAAAAAATGTTTCATTTTGGAGTCACAGGGATACATTTTAATCCCTCTGAAAATTGAGATAAATTACTAATTCTGATTCTGATATTTAAAAGGAAGCTAATTCTAATGGCAGATATATGTAACTTTTTGATTATCGTAAAAATAAAATTTTTCTAAATGATGTAATTAATAAATAAAGGCTATATGCATTTGTAGGCAGAACATATACATGAATACAATCAGTGTTGCTTTTCAATATAGTCTGATTAACATAACAATATAATATAACAACATAAAATATAACAAATATAATAATTTATTTTCTTGTGTCTCCAGTGTGATGAAAACAGCACTTTCAATAACCATGCACTTTACTTGGGTCTTCCATGCTGCAAAGAAGATTATAATGGTTGTCCCAACATCCCTTCAAGCTTGATTTTTCAGCGCAGCACCAAAGAGTTTTTTTCAATCTCTACTCAGCTGTCTTCTACCAAACTTACCCAGAATGGTACAGCAGTTTTTTATTCCAACAATTCATAATTCATAGTCCACCTTTTCAGTAAAGCAGAATAGTCTGATTTATTTACATGCTTCAAACAGATTTTCATATGACGGTTCTGATTGATTGAGTTACTTGCAGCATGTATCTGTACTTGAAGGATTCTGTTTCTATGTGTATGGAACAGTTATGAAACACAAAACAGAAAATATTTTCAAACTAAAAATATATACTTTGCGGTGATTAACTTCCCAATTGCTATTGTAAATAAAGTATAATTAATTATTTTAATAATAATAGAAAAAATCAAAGAATTGGGTATTTAGGGTATACAAATTCATAAAAAGTAGCCTTGAAAATGAGATTCTCAATCATCCAGGTCATGGTTGTCCCAAAGGTGCTTTTTTCAAGAGGCAACTGGACTTTCTGGTTTTTCTTTGAAGATGTTTCGCTTTTTATCCAAAAAGCTCCTTCACCTCTGACTGGAGGGTGGGTAATAGAAGGATTTATACCCCTTGCAGACAACTGGTCATTTGCAGTCTCTTACCAGGTCGTTAAGGTCATCTGGAAGTTTATCAGGGTCATCTTAGTGGTGCAAATTAGATACAGACAGAACAGAAAAAGAAGCAACTATTCTCTCCTATTGACCTTGACATATGGATATGTCCATATAGTTTTCCTGACAACAAAAATTGATATGACTGGGAATTTTTTCTTTAGTTACTCAGCCTATAGCACTGGAATTTCTGCTGATTTCCTTTCCAAGAATAAATTGGGTCTTATCCTACGGAGGGTTTTTTCCAAGATCAACCAACTTGTCTAGATGTTGCCACCTACTGTAATTACATCAAGCATTTTCACATAAGATATATTCCTACAATACTTACTAAATTAAAATTGTTTAGACAGGCATTTTTGAATCTGGCTTAGTATGCTATGCTGTTATGTCTTAGTTATACAATATAGAAGGAACTGCAGTTTATTCAATATAAAATTAAATATAATAGTTCAGTGCACTTTCATTTAAATTAATATGTTTCTGGGTCACATACTGTGAAAACAAGAGAACATTATAATTGAAATTACAAGTATTAATCACAATTGTGTCCAATAGCTTCTCAAATTATTTAACAAATATATTTTATATTTTGTTCATGCCCAGGACTAAATGATCTTCATAAAAATTGCTATCAGTGTATTCAGAGTATTTTAGATAATGGTACTATTATTTATATACTTATTTATATATTATTTTTTTTCTACTATATACAGTGGACCTGCTTGCTCTTCTGAAATGGAAAGCATATCCAGATCGTGTAATGGATATTTTAGGAAGACTGCGCCAAGTCAGTGGTGAAGAAATTGTTAAGGTATTGAATTTGGTCTAAGCTATTATTAACAAATTAATTACAATAATTCATCACTTTTAGGGAAAAAACCAAAGTTATTAATATTTGTATTTATCAATAAATAAAATATCAGTGTGATTACCTTAATCATAAATGTAAATGATACAGTGACATCAAGTCTTTATTTGCTTCAATTTAATAGAAAGAATTTTGCCAGACTAAAACTACAACCGTGTAACCTAATAGATATACCCTGAGAGATTCTAGGTGTGGCCACTCTAAAAACGTCCTCCCTCCCCCAGACAGTTCAGGAGTGCAGTCATTTATTCTGTGTGGAATGTACAGCCTCCTCCTGGGGAGACCATGGTATTCTTGCCAATATCCCTTCCCCACTCCTTCTCCAGGTGCACTTTTCATCACATGTATTGAAAATGTGTGATACAGTATAAATAAGACTAACAAATAATGCTTAATATTAATGATTTGCACATCTGAGGTTACAATAGCAACTAGGATTTTCTAGATTGCTGTTACTAAGTGATGCAGTCACATGACATCACATTTTATACCACATTGCTTAGTGGCAATAATCCCAGTTCCAACTGCAGTGGTAACTCAAGGACTAAAATTAGCAATTTACACCAAATGTCTGGAAAGTTCTTCCCAAAGCCATTTGAACATTTTCCTGCCAGCATCCCTGTTCTCACTTTTACCATCATATTGTATGCTTGTACTTGTAGCTATAGATCCTTATTAATTTTTAAAAATATAAAAATGTGTATTTGATTGCCTATATTATATAAATACATAAATACATAAATACAACCATAGATAGTTATCAAATACACAAATAATAAAAAAATCAAGATCAAAATTCTAATACTTCATTAGTGCCATAAGAGAACCCTATCAAAAAGATTAATCTGGATTTTTGCCTCTCAGATTTGTCCCTTGTTATTGAGTGGACTTGACTTAATAAAAAGGGTCATAAAACAAATTGAGGTCTAGAGGAATTTAACATTTACTCAGAATATCTGGCTTTGATTTTTCTATCTGGCTGGTTTAAAATTTTAATGGGCTATTTTATGGGTAAAGGGTTTTAAAATTTGGGGAAGCCAAACTGATCTAATTCTGTTTTAATTTATTTTAATTTTTATACTGTATGTATTTTAATTTTGGCTGTTCACCGCTCTGAGTCCTTTGGGAGAAGGGCGGTATACAAATTTAATAAACCTTAACCTTAAACTTAACCTTAACCTATAGAATATTGTACTTCAGAATTAGAGAATAATCAATGTACTTACATATAGTGTCAGAAAACTATGAAATTGTTTGGTTTGGTAGAACAAACAGATACTAAAAATCCCTGTGCTTTTCAGAGGGATAGAATCAAGATCACGTGAAGTGTTAATACCACTTTATAATGCCTTGGTAAGGCCACACTTGGAATACTGCATTCAGTTTTGGTCGCCACGATGTAAAAAAGATGTTGAGACTTTAGAAAGAGTGCAGAGAAGAGCAACAAAGATGATTAGGGGACTGGAGACTAAAATATATGAAGAACGATTGCAGAAACTGGATATGTCTAGTTTAATGAAAAGAAGGACTAGGGGAGACATGATAGCAGTGTTCCGATATCTCAGGGGCTGCCACAAAGAAAAGGGGGTCAAGCTATTCTCCAAAGCACCTGAGGGTAGAACAAGAAGCAATGGGTGGAAACTAATCAAGAAGAGAAGCAACTTAGAACTAAGGAGAAATTTCCTGACAGTTAGAACAATTAATCAGTGGAACAACTTGCCTGCAGAAGTTGTGAATGCTCCAACACTGGAAATTTTAAAGAAGAGATTGGATAACCATTTCTCTGAAGTGGTGTAGGGTTTCCTGCCTAAGCAGGGGGTTGGACTAGAAGACCTCCAAGGTCACTTCCAACTCTGTTATTCTATTCTATTCCTTTTCCAGTTCTTGCAGGACATTCTGGATACATTGTTCGTGATTCTGGATGATAACACAGAAAAATACGGACTTCTGGTCTTTCAGTCTTTGGTAAGAACAAAATATTTCTGACAGATCAATATTCTAATGCAAGATGTGAAGGCACTTTTTCTTCAATACTTTTCTAAAAATTAACATGCTATTCTCTTCTCTGCATTAGTTGCTGAAACTTTTCCAAATTCTCCTTAATCACTTGTGGATTGACATCTATCATGGTACCTTTTCTGTTTTTTTAATTTATTTATTTATTTATTTATTTTTATCCCACCTTTATTGTTTTCACAAATAACTCAAGGCAATGAATATATCCAACACACCTTTCTTCTCTTATTTTCCCCAAAACAACAACCCTATCAGGTAAGTTGAGCAGAGAGAGAGAGTGACTGGCTCAAAGTCACTCAGCTGACTTTCATGGCTAAGGCGGGAATAGAACTCACGGTCTCATGCTTTCTAGTCTGGTGCTTTAACCGCTAGAACAACTGGCTCTTTTGTTGATCCTTGTTTCCAAAAATTCAGATTAATGGCAATTTCCATGAGCTTCTCTGAATGCTAAATGTTATCACCTCTGAACTTTGAAATACTGAATAATTGCAACATGTGAGTGTTCAGCTACCATTGGAAATGTTAGAATAGTTGCAAATTATTTTGTTCTTAAATGTTTGATATTCTCATGACTTTCTGTGAATTAAATTTACTGATTTAGGCCATCTGATGGTGAAGTTTATACACCAACTATAGTCATAGACAATATACAAATAGCCTACATACCCTTAAGAAACATAAATATCTTGAGCTAATGATTAAACTAAAAATTTGTTTTAATTTGAGAACTGATTCCATTGTTTCTGTATTTGACTGCCTAAATTGGGATTAAATAATCATTTTTTATTGTTAAAAGCTAGAAATCAAAAATCCTTGAAAATCTGCAAATAACTTTATTGTAGGTTTTGGCCATCCAATTTTAAGAATATGAGATTTGCTATTTCATTTTCCGTGAGTAAAATCTAGAGAGCCAACAAGAATCTGTTTAGAAGACATTCTTAAATTAAAATATTCTTAATTGATCAGTGTTTTAAATTCTAGGGCTATTGTTTACTTCATATTCAACAGGAAAAAGTTTATATGTGTGGAGCAAGCAACCGTCACCACTTTTTCAAAATAACTGTATTTTTTTCTCAGAATCGTGCAGTAAGATTGAAATATAATCATTCCTTATAAGGATTTCAGTAATGGCAAGATCTAATAAAAGGAATTTCACATAAAATCATAGTGGCATACACATAAAATTTAAAAAGGGGAAGGATGATTAAAATTCAATGTTAAGAGTTAATTGAAATGGGGTCCCCACTCCTGGGCTGTGGCCCACTACTGGGCCTTGAGCCTTTTGGAACCGGGACATGGATGTGGAGGGCGAGTGTGCATGCATGCATCCCCACTCGAGCTAAAAGTGGGCGAGCATGTGTGTGCATGCTCCATTCGTAAGAACAGCAGGCACACTTGTCCTCCCCTCACACAAATGCAGTTGTGTGCAGATGCTTGCCTGCCCTGTGCGCAGTACCATCCCCTCTTTCCTTCCCTCCCTCTCCTCCCGCTGGTCATAAAGCTTAAAAGATTGGGGAACTCTGAATTAAAAGATGTTTAATTTAATGGAGGGCTTTCAGGACCCTCCAAACCAGCATTTGGGGCAGACTCATGAACTTGGACCAAAGATCTTAAAAAATTTATGTTCTTTTTAAGAAGCTGACAGCCTACAACATCTGATATTATTTGTTTTAAATCTTTGTGAAGTAAATTAGCACTTTTCTGACTATGTTTCTATCTTTAAGGCATTATGGAAATTCATAGTTACTATTTTTGTTTCCCATTTGGTAGCCATTTCTGAAACAATCAGAGAAACAACTATAATATTAATTTTGAATAAAAGCATTACTTCTATCAAGAATATATACTGAGTTAGAGTGGAGCGATAAATTACAATTGTCATGAAATATCCTTATGCAGGATAATTAAATATTATTTATTCAAGCCCTTATACACAAGCTCATATACTTATTTAGTTATCTTTATCTTCCTAAACATGTTTCTTTTTTTATCTTTCTCTTTAGGTGTTTATCATAAATCTATTGCGTGATAGCAAATATTTTCATTTTCGACCTGTAATTGACACTTATATTCAGAAGCACTTTGCAGGAGCTTTGGCATATAAGTAAGTCATCTCTTTATTAAGTAAATGTTAATATCAACGCAGTAATTTTTAGAAAAGGATATTCATTTGCTTGAGTTTTTGTATATACTAAGTTCTCACAGAGAATAGTTTATAGAATCAGCATAGCAAAGGGTTAAAAATGGAGCAAAATCATAGTCACTTGAAGTCCAATGATTATAGATGAAAACTGCTGTTAAACCATCATTTGTTTATTTAATTTATTGTAACATACATGTATACACACATACACATATGCAAACATACACACACATACACACACATGTAGCATATAAATAGAGAGATGTAAGTATAGATAGAGATATCGATATATTTCAGAAAAATCTGTCACTGAGCTTCTCTCCTATTGAAATGTCTGTCAATGTTGTTTTTTTATTCAGAGAACTCATCCGCTGTTTGAAATGGTATATGGATCGATCAGCTGAACTAGTACGACAGGATCATATTCAAGAAGCAATGCGGGTATGGTTTCTATGTGACAATCACTCAGTTTAAAAAAAAAAAATTACTTCTTTTCTAAGGGCAAAACTTAACTAGGAATGAAAATTAAATAATATATTATTTAATGAGTTTTTTCCCAGTGATTTCCAGCAATACTGATCTTCAGTGGTGCTATTTAGAATTAAATGCTTACCTCCAAATATTGATTTAAGAAGGTGGATCTTAAAATGGGATTACAAATCAGATTTATTGTGGTTGAGTCAGTGGATTAATTTAAATCTGGGGAAAAACACTGGAATAAAAATGTACTTACTCATCAACAATGGAACTGGAGGGTTTGCTAAAAGGTGCAATTTTTGCAAATAGCTTTCTTGAAGGAGAATGCTAAATTTTGATTTATTTTATTGATTTCTAACTAAATAAATATGGATTCGCCCACCCCTCAAGTCGCTTCAAACTCTGAGATGGGCAGCAAATAAGTTTAATAATAATAGTAATATCCTTCACATAAAGGATAAGAATTTGAATATTAATAATGTACTTAATTTTTCCCCTCTGACTTTATAAACCCCTTGTTCTTTGTTTTCCTGATTCCCTTCCTGTTTCTTAAGGCATTGGAATATCTTTTCAAGTTTATTATTCAGTCTCGGATCCTTTACTCCAGAGCTACTTGTGGAATGGAGGAGGAACAGTTTAGAATCAGCATCCAAGAACTTTTCCAGTCCATCAGATTTGTACTCAGCTTGGACAGCAGAAGCTCTGAGACTCTCATCTTTACACAGGTTATAAATATCTACAGTTCTATTTTGTGTGTTTCATTGTTGCCTTTGTAAATTAATAGAATTACTCAACAATGTACCAAAACTGTTCAGAGGAAAATAACTAATTGATTAGGAAAATACTAGCAAACCATAACACAATCCTTCTGCAATTCTATCAGTTTTTCAATTTTCAGTTTATTTATTGTACTAGATTTACATGCTCTTTCAATCATATATGTCTTTGAGTGATACAAATAGTAATGAAATTAAAAACATAGCTATATTTCAATATAAATCACCAGGTTTCTGAGAAACAACCACAATCCATATTTATATTTAATCATCAGGTGTGACAAAAATTATCCCACAGCCTGTGAAAGCCAACTGGAACAATTTCACTTTCAGATCTCAAAGGACAGGCAGAGATTACTGGGAGAAGGTGGTTCCTAGATGCCCAATCCTGAACCATGAAGCATTTAAAGGTGACAATCAACATCTTGGATTGCACTCAGAACAATACTGATAAGCAGTGTAGTTCTCAAAGCAGACATGTTCCTTGGGTAGACCGTTGGGCATCCAAAACTTCTTGAGTTGCTTTATTGTGAAGCAATTGAAATTTGTGGTGGCCATCTTATGCAATAATTTAATAATTTAATTGAGAGGAAACCAAGGGTTAACTGACTATGAGCAAAGCCTACTAATGTAGGAAAGACTGTAATTGTTACACAAGATGAACCTCTGAAGTAGCTCTTCTTAACCACAGCTGCCATCTGCTCTTGAGCTGGAGCCCAGATTATGAATTAACACTGAATGAGAAGCACAGCCCCATCCAGAGTCAGAGATAGAATACCTTTGTAATTGGAGGGCTTCTTTACTAAAAGCTATTTCCCCTTGTTGACATTGAACCAGATTCTGTTTATTCCCATCCAAATTTTGATGGCTTCCAAGTTCTGGGATAAAACCTGAGTCATATCTTCTGTTTGTCTGGAGTCAAGATACTCAACTGAATATCATCTGCACACCAATGCTACCTGTTTTGTGTTATTGGATCACCATTACCATTAGCTTCATGTAGATGTTAAGTAGGGGGAAGACAAGGTGTCAACTTCTGCGGCACATCATAACAGAGAGTCCCACCACCAATGTCTGGAGCTGTCGATTTAAGAAGAATTACTACAAAGCAGTGCCACTTACTCCTAACCTTTGCAGGTGGTCCAGAAAAATATTATGTTCAATGGTGTCAAACCAACTAAGAGAACACACAGAAACAGAAGGATTACACCCATATCCCACTCTTGCCACAGGATGATAGAAAAGTAATTAATGTGGATTCAGTTTCATGTCGGGTGTGAATCATCATGATAATCTGTCCTCCAGCACTTTCTGCAGCTGCAAACTATAGAAAAACCTCCTAACAACTTTTCCACAGAAGGAAAGATTGGAGACTAAGTTATAGTTATCTAATATTCAATGCAATTCAATTTTATAAACATTTTCTATAAAGATTTTACCAGCAAAGTAATAGTTCGTTCAGTAAAAAGTCCCAAGCAAGTGAGTTTTCTAAGATATTCAATTGCTGCCCATTAAATAATATGAATTCCAGGCTTATTCATATGTCTAAGAAGTATCTAATATTGTTGCATATTTGTGAAAGAAATAAATCTGAAGACTCTAGTAAAAATAATAGTTTGTTCTATAAAGAAAACAAAATTTTGATAGCAGTGTTTTCTAACCATTAACTTTAATTTTTCACCTCTGAAACAGTACTTGAGAAGATTATATATTCATTTAAAATCTTCTTTAATACTTAATGCATCAAAAGTTTACCTTTTTTTGTTTCCCACTTGCCACTGTGTTGCCCCTTAACCCTAATTGCCCCATAGGCCCCTCAGCCTGAAGGACAGGTGAGCGGAGCTGGGACATGTGCCCCACAAAAATGTGGTGGCATTGCAAGGCCGTCATTTAAATCTGTAAGTAATTATCCCCATATCCTGTACAACTTTTAATCATGGATGTATCTAATGACTTTTTTTCCAGTCCATTTTTCTGCACAATTAACTAAAATATATTGCACAGTTCAATGTTTGCAACTATAAAGTGATTTGCAAAACACTGAATGTTTAAATATAAGAGTTATTCTGTTGTTTGCATGAATCACTTTGAATACTAGCTCCAGTCATTAGAGAGAAATTATATCAATTACGGCAAACTTTTGCATTACCTCTGGTAATTCAAAGAATACATATTAATGATGATAATAAAAAGTAACCAAATCTCATAGAAGAATATTTACTAACTCAAATATTGAGTTTGGGTTATGTCATACTGTAAACAACTAAATATTCATGCAGCTGTAAGAGCCAATAATGAAAATACAATTAATTTTGGCCTTATTTTTAATCTCTTGCTATTAAGGTTTTTTTCATGGAAATAGCCAAGAGCATTGTGTTCTCTCTAATTACAGGTCTTTTGATATCACCACCTCTGATATAACTGTCACTGGAAATAATAGCAATATTTAATAATTGCTAAATATTTCCCTGGCATGAAATGGACTTATCTTAAAAATAAAGAAATTAAAATAACAATGGTTGTCTGGTTCAGTATTTAATTATTATCTTTATTTATTTTGTCTATATTTCTTTGGATTGAGAACATTAATTCTAAAATACTCAGCAGAAGTCACCACCCATCTTTAATTTAACTACCAGTATAATTTATAAATAAAATAAAACAAAAAGAAATGAATAGCCAGAACAGGGGAAATAATCAACTGTTTGCTCTGGCTTGCCAGTTGCTGATGGAGGATAAACCACAGCATCCACAGTGGGATACCTACAGACATATTTGCATCAGATATGATGACTTCATTGCATTATTACATTATTTGTGCAATGTTGTCATGAAACATTGACAACATTTTTGATATCATTAAGGCTCATTGCAAATATCACTGGTAGTACTGTTCACCATAGAGAGAAATAGAATAACAGAGTTGGAAGGGACCTTGGAGGTCTTCTAGTCCAACCCCTGCCTATGCAGGAAACCTTACATCACTTCAGACAAATGGTTATCCAACATCTTCTTAAAAACTTCCAGTGTTGGAGCATTTGCAACTTCTGTAGGCAAGTTGTTCCACTGATTAATTGTTATGTCAGAAAATTTCTCCTTAGTTCTAAGTTGCTTCTCTCCTTGATTAGTTTCCATCCATTGCTTCTTGTCCTACCCTCCAGTGCTTTGGAGAATAGAGATGTGTTACTTGTATTGTATGGTACCATCTATCAAAAGATTTTCTGAGTGATGTGAGAGAATGAGTTGCTCACTTTTTCCATCAGATTTGGAATGGGGAATGGGATGGCAGCTAGGAAACAAAGAGTTAATTCTTATATTTTTGAATACTCCAATACTCCCTCCTAGCTATTGCACCCTGTATTGCAAATGGGCTTCCACACAAGATAACTATAATGGGTGTCCCGAAGGTGCTTTTTCAGGAGGCAACTGGACTTTCTTGTTTTTTCTTTTGAAGACGTTTCGCTTCTCATCCAAGAAACTTCTTCAGCTCTGACAGGATAGTGGGGAATGGAAGGATTTATATTCCTTGCAGACAGCTGGTCATTTGTATCCTTTTAGAGGGTCGTTGAAGTACTTGGAGGGTCGTTGAAGCACCACATAAACCTCATAAAGTGCTTCAACGACCCTCTAAAAGGATGCAAATGACCAGCTGTCTGCAAGGAATATAAATCCTTCCATTCCCCACTATCCTGTCAGAGCTGAAGAAGCTTCCTGGATGAGAAGCGAAACATCTTCAAAAGAAAAAACAAGGAAGTCCAGTTGCCTCCTGAAAAAGCACCTTTGGGACAACCATGACCTGGATGACTGAGAATCTCTACAGACGTATAACTGGGGTGATAGGGAGGAGAAGTTTCAGCTGGATTGGTGAACAACAGGTCTGATGTTTCCATCTTCTAATGTACTCCTATTCTTCCATATCACCAACATTGAAATTGAGCTCAGAAATTCCTTTGATTTGAGACAGTAGTTTTCTAAAACTAATCACTGTAAGGATACGTCAGAAATTATTATAATAGGAAGGAAAGAGGATGGACACTGTTGGAAAGTTAATATTTACTTCTAAAGCTCTCACCATACTTACCTCTCTCTCCCTAATGCAGTTAAAACAAACTAGCATGATACGTAGTGGGAAATTTTGGGATGAGTGAGTCACTTGGTTGAGTTGGGCGGCTATAGAAATTAATTAAATAAAAAAAAAATAATTACATGTTGTATCTATCTGACTATCATATATTTTATTTATTTATTTTATTAAATTTACTGACTGCCCATCTTACCACAAGGTACATGCATGCATGCATGTGACACAAAATGGGTGACTGCTCATTGTTAATTTTGCCTTTGGCACTTGATGATTTGGTCCTTCCACTGATGATAAGCAGTTTTTGTCAATTTTCCAATAAGAAATGTGCTTTTTGGGCTGAAAAGAAATCTTATCCAGCACTAAAATAAGTCTTTCTTTTATTGAGTGTGTTTGTAATATGGAGGAAGCTACTGCTCTAAGAGACAGGAATTATTTTTTGCATATTCTCCTTGCAACAACCCATATTGTTTTAGGGTGTCCTCTCACTTTATAGCAGATCTACAATGGACTGCAGAAAAAAGAGAAAGAATAATTGAAAATATGATTGCAATGACTCTTATGAACATCCTGTAAATTACGATTTGCTGATGGGTACTCAAGATTTAAACCGTTATTCTATGATATTCTGGAAGCCTTCATTAATTTTATACAAGAACAAATGAACATAAAACTGTTGAGGAATGCACATTGTTATATTTTCAAATTCTGCTATGTTTATTATTTGTCATATATGGTGCATAATTATTACTTTCTCAAACTAAAGCAAAATGCCACAACATAATGTTGCAAGTGCAATAATACAAACAATCAGTATATATTTCTAAAAGAAAATATTTTGAAGTACCGTGTTTCCCCGAAAAAAGACACTGTCTTATATTTTTTTTGAACCCTGAAATAAGCACTTGGCCTTATTGCCATGTGCTCAAAAGCCCGATTGGGCTTATTATCAGGGGATGTCTTATTTGGGGGGAAACAGGGTATTATGTTGGTTTGAAGGGGGAAATGTGATGACTCAGTAGTTAAGATGCTGGGCTTGTCAGCTGGAAAGCCAGCAGCCCAGGTTTTGAGACCTGAGTGTCACGCAGGATAAGCTCCTGCCTTTCCCTGGCTCCTGCCAACCTAGCAGTTCAAAAGCATGCAAATGTGAATAGACAAGTACGTACCACTTCAGTGGGAAGGTAAGAGCGTTCCGTGACATCATGCTGGCCACATGACCACAGAAATGTCTTTGGGGAGCGCTGGCTCAAAAGCCTTGAAACAGAGATGAGCACTGTCCCCTATAGTCGGCAACCATTAGCAGAGTAAAATCTGCAGAGACTGCTTTGTCTTTTATATTAGTTTGGAGATGATCACAGTACTTATAGCTTTCTAATTTCATAAAGCATATGCTTCAGTATCTATAAGATGTTGTAGTTTAGGGTTCCTTTGTATTATGAACTCATGTTACAATGCCATAATTTCCAAGATTTCTTTCTGATAAAAACATGAATTTTTAAAGAGGAATTTCCTGCCTTTTTAATATATATCTATCTATCATGACTTCTGTTGCCAAATGAAACTGATGATATTGATTCTTCTATACTAACAGAGTTCACAAAAGTCTCATATTTCCATTTTCTTTTTAGGCTGCTCTATTGAATTCTTTCCCTGCCATTTTTGACGAGCTATTGCAGATGTTCACAGTACAGGAAGTAGCAGAGTTTGTGAGAGGAACTCTTGGGAGCATGCCCAGTACAGTGCATATTGGACAATCTATGGATGTGGTTAAATTGCAATCTATAGCTCGTACAGTGGACAGTCGCTTATTTTCTTTCTCAGGTAACAGTTATAATATTAATCATAATATATCTCTTTACATACCCAGTATTAACAAAATTTGTTTTATGCCATTTTAGGAACATACATGAAACTATTTTAGGTTTCATATACTGTATCCCTAAAATAGCATAAAGCAAATTATATTTTGAAAGTTGATTCATTAGAATTAATGTACAAAAATTATATTGCATAATGTTTCTGTTCTAACCAGCCACATCTTCTTCCAGATTATTACACTCCCTCTTTTTCTGTTTCTTTGAACAACTTTGCATATTATGATTCCTAAACATTGATTTTGCCTTGAACTGTTTTACCTGCTTTTGCTTTCCATCTTTTTTATGTACATGGGAGAAGATTGTCCTATAATTTTTGAATTTCCCTCATTCACCAATATTTTTCCTTTGTTTTTCAATGGGTGTATTTTGGTCTGTATTTTGGTTCAGTAACAAATGGAGAGATTAGGAAATTAAGAAATAAAGTCAGAAATATTTTTTTTTAATGTCAGTGCCCATTCTATACAGAAGTATAGCATGGGGACATTGCAGTCTCTTTAAATATTTTTACATTTTTTCACCGATAATTTAAAACAAAAAAATGGATCCTGAAAACCTTATTTACGGCTATATTAATATTCTTGTATTGCTGTAACACACCAAAGTAAAGCCATCTCTTTGTCAAAGCTTTTACACTAATATCTATGGTTCTGTACTAGAATAATCAGTTTTAGAAATACTTGAGATTTAGTTAGCGAACTGATGTCCATATTTTTCTAATAAAGTGGTGGGAGTGCCTTATTCAGTTTATTTATGTAAAAGATTCATAAAAATCTCCTATCTTAAGAACTCAACTCGGGGTGAGGTCGGGAGGGCTCACTAGAGTGGAAAAAAAAAACCCTGGCACTTCAATCATCCCCCTTGGATGCATCCAACAGAACCATCCACATGCTCCTATTTCATCCTATTGTAGCATTTTGGGAAGGGGTAGCTTTCTATGATCTTCCAAAAAACTAGAGTAACAGAAGCCTGCTGGATCTAGGGAGAAGGGTATTCTACAGAGCACAAGCTGCTATGAAAAAGGCATGCTTTCTGGTCCCCTAAAATGGCAGCATAAAAGAATGGGACCCATACCATGTTTACTGTATCCATCCCAGTGGGGAATGGTCCCTGGCCCCATGACAAGTAGGACTTTAAAGAAAATTAAGCCAGTGCAATTTGCAGAACAGTAGTGCAATATGAGTTCCAAACACTTCATGTATTCTGCTGTATTCTGGACCAGTTGTAATTTCTCAGTGGTCTTCAAGGGCAATCCTGTTGCAATAGTCCAACCAGGAAGTCCTCAAGTGACTATGAACAAGGCCTCCCTGTCCAGGAATAGGTGCAACTTGTGCACAAATTTACATATTTCTTTTGAACCTAAGTGAACTGTTAGAATAAAAAAAAAAGGGACACTGACATTCACATGCATGTCTTACTTTTAGAATAATTTTAAAAGTAATAAAGACAAAGGCAGTAAAAGCATTGTATGAATTCATTTAGGTTAATAATATATCCACACTAATAAATATCCAAGTATCCTGATATTATTTTGAAGGAGAACGTACATGTGAATGTCAGTGTCTCATGGTATTTGATGGTTCATGTGAATATCAATGGTTAGAGATTTCATGTTATTTAGATACTTCCCTTTCCTTCACATTTCGTAGTCAGTATCTCTGTTGCCTGTTGTAATAATATCTCTTATGACAGTTGATAATATTGTAGGTTCATGACTTGACAATTTAATATAGCTTCTGTGGAAGCAATATTAAACAGTGAAGGAAAATAAGGCTGCCAGTAAAGATAGTTTATGCATTTGATTTACTATACTGCAAGTGATATATAACCTTTTACAACATTTTGTAAATTCGCTATTCAGAACTAGCATTTGAATGAATAAAAATGAGTTTCCCTTAAAATCTGTTTCATAGAGGCCTCCAATTAAACTGTTGTACTATTTATTAAAAGGCCAATTAAATTAATTTTATTTGTTATTAATGGTAGCTCTTCAGTTTCTATATATATGCTTGTGAATTAAAATGAGGCAGGCTTCTCATTCCAGTTCTGAGTTCTCCTGTAAAATAATGTCAAGCCTCTGGTTTCCCATTCCTAGAATCTCGGCGAATCTTATTACCTGTGGTCCTTCATCATATTCATCTTCATCTGAGACAACAAAAAGAGTTGCTTATCTGCTCTGGAATTCTTAGCAGTATCTTCTCTATCATCAAAACTAGCTCCGTGGTAATCTATGTCTATCATTCTGTCTTTCTATCATCTATCTATCTATCTATCTATCTATCTATCTATCTATCTATCTATCATTTATCTCTGAAGAATTCAAATGATATGTTATCTTTTGCAACATAGTATAGTTGTTTGTGACCTACTTATCATCAGTATAAAGGATTATTGAAACTATGCATGTTTTTTAACATAAAGGACAGAAAATTGTGCATTAGTTATTATGCTTAACAAAGTTTTCAAAAATTTACTTGAGAGAAGATATATGGCTGCTGGCCAGCCTATATAGAATTGTTCTATATCTTTAGCAGAATAATACACATGATTAAAATTCTGTGTAACATAAAATCCAGACTATGGTATGTTCTAATCTAGGCTCTTAAATAATTTCCTGATTCCCCCCCCCCAAAAAAAATATTCAACTTATTTTGTATAGATAGTACTGCCGTGCAAGCAAATAATAATGATAGCAATAGCATTACATTGCTAAAATTGTTCATTTAATATATTCCCATCTACCTTCAAAGATGGCTGTTTATGTAGAAACTTTAGCACTGATGTACATATTCTGAAAGTAGGTTTGGACTATAATATCTTAAAGACAGTATCAAACATACCCAAAGGAAGTTTGACAACCTCCAAAAATATTATATTTGATAATATTCTAAAAGAGAGAGATGGACATAATTCTAATCATAAAGTTTTGTTTGTGAACAGGACTGAATACAAAATATTAAGGTAATAGTTTAATCAGGTAATAGATTATTATAAGAACATTTGATCTAGGAGTAAAAAATATCCATTATTGTAGATTTAAATAAATATGGTATTAAAAAAAAAGAAAGGGGGAGCTTTATTATGATTTCTGAGCAGAAAATTTGATGGAATCTTTGACTTCTTGGGATGCTCTATCAGGATTGCATCATTATGGGTTTTAAAGATAAGAATGACTATTGAGCACTAAGCCTAGAATGAAATGGGTTACAATGCATTTTTATATTTTAACCATCCTGACTTAGTATGTAAATGAAGATTCAATCATCCAGGCCAAAAGTATCTAAAAAGGTTAAATCATGTTAACTGGACGAAAGTTTGTTCTAGTTGCCATGATTTAACCTTTTTAGATATCCTGGCTTGGGTAATACATTTTTTTTCCTTTCTCATTCTCCTTTCTTGTGTTTTACATCCTTTAGTGGAAGTCTTGAAAGCAGGTTTTAGCAAAACCTAGTGCAATTTTTACAATTTCCTCTAGGAGCATTTTATTAGTTGAAAAGTAGATAAAAGCAAACTTAAGAACTAGTAATATAATAATAAAACTAAGTAGCTCTATTTTCATGGTTTCCCTAAGCCATGAAAACAAACTCGCATTGTCCTATAGTCCATCTTATCTTCTAGCCTATAATCCTAATAGGCTGATAAATGAATGAACAGGCAGCCATAAGCAAGTTCAACAATTTTCATTTACATTTTATAAGATGTTAACTCTTTATGTTCTGTTTACTATAGGAGACAGATGTAATTGAGGAAGTAGAAATGATGGTGGAGAGCCTCTTGGATGTACTATTACAAACTCTTCTGACTATTATGAGTAAATCACAATCTCAGGAGGCGGTAAGAGGGCAGCGTTGTCCACAATGCACAGCTGAAATCACTGTTAGTAACTAACCATCAAGTTCTATTTCCTGCTTATCTAGCCTGCTCCCTTTTCCTATCCTCTCATCTCCAGTTTACTACATTTTTCATTCATTCATTCATTCATTTTTGTGTGTGTTACAAAACTAAAAATAACTGTCCTGAACTGTCAGGATGAAGCTAAGAACTTCAGCCATGCTGCTGTTAGTTTATTTATTAATAAACCTATTATTCTAGGTTATATTTTTAATTATTTCTAAGGCATTTGCTATAATAATTGAAAATAATTAGTGGGTTCTTAATTAAAAAAAACCTAAACGATTGGAATCTTATACCATATTATTAGGAGTTGGATAGTGCATTGAGTGAACCTGGCATGTTCTTTCAATCAGGCTTAAGCCATAACATGATTTTTTTGGTGAATCATTAGCATATTATGAGAACACTGCTAGGTTTTGTTAATCTAAAATAGCATTTAGTATATAATATGAATCCAACCAAAGTTACCTGCAAAATGATAACAGTTTTGCTTAGCTTTGAAAGACAGTTCATCCTGGATTCCCTGGATCTCCAACCACCAAGCACCCTCCACTCTGACCTCAAATGAAATGAGAATTTCTTGATAAGGTAGAAAACAATGCTGTATTGCATATATATATATGTAGAGAGAAAAAGCAAAATCTCATCCTTTAATCCTCTAATTATTCTGTTTTCCAATTTTAATTTGATGGCTATTTGTCAGCCTCCATGGGTGAACTAGACAGTTACTATGTGACCTACATCTACTTTATTGTAAGGCTGTATTAACAAATCTTGCAAGTTTGAAAATACAGACTTCCCATTGCCACTTTTAACTGCTTGATCCATTAGGGCAGGTCCTTTCTAAGTTTCTTTCTCTGACCAAGAAAGGAGATTCTTATCTCTTTTGCCTAACTGTTTCCTTCTCCATTCCCCAAGATAGTCCCACATACCATTATGCGTTTCTTTATATAAACACTTTCTACATAGTAGGAATTTATTTAAAAAGTACAGACATGAGAAAAAGAATGGAGATAATTTTATAGAATTTTATTTCATATATACCACATCATTTTCAGTCCCTATACCTTTTTCCTGTACCCCAAAGTTAATTTTTTTATTTAGACTTGTGAATATGATTATTCTGCTAAAATTATTCTTTGAAATTAACAGGGGGAATATGTATCCTGTCTTTTGTCTCTACTTCGTCAGATGTCAGACACTCATTTTCAACATCTTCTGGAAAATTTCCAGAGTAAAGATGAGCTAAAGGTAAGATTATAAACGTAGTCTAGTTATATTTCCCATCTGTGTTTTTGTGCTGATGTATGTTTTGTAGCTCTGGAATGCTGAGAATGATCCTGGTTATATAGATGTTTCTTCTTTTGTCACAGATTCAAATCCATTCCATATTATTTATTTTATCCTGTATATTTGATTAGGAATTGAGCCTATTGCACTCAATAGATATTTAAATTGCAGCTGACCCAGATTCATACTGAGGTTGCAAATCAATTAGCAGTTAAATGTTCCTGTGTCATCTGACATGCATATTTTTTTAAAATAATTGAATCATTTAATAGCAATAGCACTTAGACTTATATACCACTTCACAATGCTTTATAGCCCTCTCTTAGTGGTTTACAGAATCAGCATATTGCCCCCAACAATCTGGGTCCTCATTTTACTGACCTCGGAAGGATGGAAGGTTGAGTCAACTTTGAGCCTGGTGAGATTCGAACTGCCAAACTGCTGGTAATTGGTAGTCAGCAGAAGTAGCCTGCAGTACTGTACTCTAACCACCACAGCTCTTAGATTCAATAGAGTCGAATCTAATTATACTTACTGTATTTAAGCTAGAATCTATTTGATAAAATACTCATGCTTATGCTGCTTTTGTATAGATATTATTTCATTGATGCTTCATATTTTTGTTCTTTTGGTGTGTTTTTTCTGTTAATTGTAATTCTGCTATCAGTGAACTCTCCATAGAAAGAATGGGGAGAAAGAATGATTTAAAGTATTTTAAAATAAAATATGTATTAAATATTTAATACTTTTTAACATATGAAGCAATATATCAATATTTTTAAAAGTTTTCAGTTTAATGTTGACTAAGTAACTTAAAAGCATTGTCCTTGAATGTTTTAGTCTTGACAGATTTCCTATATGAATAGTAATATAAAGATGAATATCGAACCTTTTAAGAGGAAAAACAATACAGACAGGAAGGTGGTAAAAAGTAGAGCTTATACTATTTAGAAGTTCCACCAATTGGTTCTTAAGTTCCTACTTATTTTAATGCTAATTGTCAAGAAGCTATGGCCAAGGTTTCATGTTACTCTCCTGTACACTATTTATCATAAAGATTCAGCATCTAGAAATTTGGAGTTTGATATTGTTAATATGCTGGTGACATTGAATTTTATGATACCAGTGAGTTTGAGGAGATCTGAATGTACTCCTAGCAATAATAAACTGTTTTAAAGAAATAAATTATAACCTATTCCAGATACAGCACATATGTCCATAGTTATTAGGATGACCGATCATAAGGCAACCTTGGCTTTATTTTTTAAAAATAGTATGTTCCCTTTGAAAAGAATGGTTAGCAATTTGGAGATAGTGGATTTCAAGGAACGCCTTATGGAATACATTTTCTTATCTTTGACTAGTGTGCAGCAGCTATAGCCTGAACATGATTCTGATAATCTCCAAAATTATTCTTTTATCTTTTATTTCTGCCTTTGAGTCAATTTTGGACAAATTCCTAGTTCCTAGAGCTTTCAAAGTAGCTTGCCATGGCCTTCTTCTTAGGGCTATTGGAGATAAATCTGTAAGCGATTTTTCATCCCATTTTGCAACTTACAACTTTTCTTTTCCTTGTTTAAGGTGCATGTTTGCTTCAAACTATATAGCTAGTAATGTTTTAACATTGTTTTCTTGGTTTTTACTAGGAATTTCTTCTAAAGATTTTCTGTGTGTTTCGAAATCTGATGAAGATGAGTGTCTTTCCTCGAGATTGGATGGTGATGAGATTACTCACCAGCAAGTGAGCTCTGATTCATTTTAAAACAGTTGAATTTACTAAAATCATGTACAATTTTTAAACAAAAGATTTTTAAAAAATAATTTCAGCTCAACTAAATTTTAAAAGCACTTAGACCATTTTAGATATGCTCCATTTTTATTCTTCATTGAAACATACTGAGAACTGATTTTTTGATAACCTTATTAAAAAAAAAATAAAGAAATAAAATCTAATAATTGAAATAGAAAGAAAGAAGTAAAGAAAACCAAAAGTTAATGCTAAGGTAGATTTCAAAAATCATTTTATTAGATATGCTATATTGACAGTATGGAATAGATATAAACTTACGTTGTGTCAAAAATACCTTTATGGCTGCCACTTGAAGAAACACCTTATAGAAGAGAAATGATAATTAAATATATATCATTAATTTATGGTAATATATTGGAATTATCCTATAATGTCCAATACCATTCTGACATCTTTTAATTATTTTTTAGGAAAAAAAATCCACATTGGTGTCTGTGAATAAATTCTTGTAGAATTATTTTCAATCTATCTGCTAAAATGATTGTAAATAACTTATAATCACTGTTTAATAATATCCGTCTATAGGATGAGTGAATTGAGGATACAGCCATAATATATCTTTGACTTGCAATTGGTAGGTTGGCTGGAGCCAGGAAAGCGGAATCATAATTTAGTGAATCCTTTTCTCTTGAACATCTCATGCCTATAGCTACCAGAATGGAAAGAGTTGCTTGTCAAGGCAGAGAATTGGGGTGTTGTGGATGTATTTTCCATCTTGCTAACCAACATTCTCCATATCTGGGCTGTTTGAGATAGTTACCTATATGGCAATACTTTGTTATTATTACAACAATTACAGCCAGTTTATAAAATGAAAATAAATATTGTGAACAACAGCAACAAAAGCCCAGAATATCAACCCAGTATAATTCAGTTCTTAATAGTAGCTATGAACAAAACCAATAGATGTGGGAGAAGTTATTATTTAGACGTTAAGTGTGGTGTTAGGCTGTCTTAAGACATGGAATGATTTTAATTGGATAGATTTTTCAATAATGTATTGGAATTGGAATCTATTTAAGGATTAGCTTTCCATGGGGCAAATTATTAGATAAGAATGTTTCAGGCTGCCTTCATGTTCCTGATAAAATGGATTGGCAATTTTTTAAATTATATATTAACCACTATTTTTCAATAAATATAAAAGAACATTATTTTCGCTAAATTTAAATATTCTGCATATTCTTTAAACACTACTATAATGTTGTTCCTTTCGTTATTGTAGTGTCATAGTTACAACAGTGCAGTATCTGTCTGCAGCACTACATAAGAATTTCACTGAAACGGATTTTGATTTTAAGGTATTTTTGAAATTTCTTTATACTATTAAATGGTTAACGTTGTATTTGTTTTGCTATTAAATGACAACTAATAAAGCATTTGCACCAAAGTCCTCCAAGAATGTTCAGATCTTTAAAACAGAAAAAAATAGAAGAATACAGATGGTCCTCATTTAATGACCACTCATTCAGTGACTATTCAAATGTATGGCAACACTGAATGAGCATACGTATAATTGGCCCTTGTACTTACAGCCATCACAGTATCCCTGTGCTCACATTATCCACATTTGCCATCTTCTTTGCCAGCTTCCTACAAGGAAAATCAGTGAAAAAGCCAGCAGGAGTTTGCAAATTGTGATCATGTAATGGCCTCAATTAATTACTGACAACAATTCACTTAACAAAGGCTACCAGAAGTGCTAGAATTTGTGTTAATAAGCGGCACTGGCAATTGATTATGTGTGTCTACTCAGAGAGACATTTTGGTATAGTGGTTAAGGCACCAGGCTAGAAACCAAGAGGCTATGTTGTAGTCCTGCCTTGGGCACAAGGGCAGCAGGGTGACTTTCTCTCAGCCCTAGGAAGGAGGCAATGGCAAGACCACTTCTGAAAAACCTTGCCAAGAAAACCTGTCCAGGCAGTCTCAGAGAATGGGACACAATTGAAAGGAAGGGTGGGGGAGAATTCAGAGGTAAATCCCAGTGAGTTTAGTAGACAAACAAACAAACCCAAGTAATGATGTAAAGAATTGCAATACAAGGTTTTTTAGTTTAGAAATTTTGTTTATAAAACTTCAAAAATTCTTGACAGTATAGTCTCTGTGGAGTAATACGTATGGGATTCCTCACCTCATATAGCTAGTCTTTGCCTTTTGTGTGTGTATTTATAGAATTTTTATTATAATTCTATAATTCACTTTCAGAAATTCAGTTATAGAATTATATTATGAAGTAGGTCTACTATGCATTGTTTATTGATGTGTGTGAAAGAAGTGCCCATATCATATGTACAGTACTTACATACATGAAACTGCTCTCATTATGTAATGACTATATTTGTTATAATCATTTGGCTTAGGTGTTTTCTAAGCAGATATATAGAATATAAATATATCATTATAATAAATACATTGTCATTATCATTATCTCTGGTGCTTTTTAGAACAATCAATGGACATTTATTAAAGATATACTAAAAAACTAAATTATATATGAGTTTTCAGTTACTTGCTTCATTGTTTTTCTATTTTCTAGGCCTGGAACTCTTATTTCAGCTTGTCAGTTTTATTTATCAACCAACCCAGCCTCCAGCTAGAAACATTTACTCCAGCTAAGCAGAAAAAGATTCTGGACAAGTAAGAATATATTAATTTAATTTTCATTCTCAGATGTTTGCTTTGAAAGTAAGGCAGTTGTTTTTTCCTCTGGTTCTGTTTTTATAAGATGTAGTCTAATAGTAATGCTGCCAAATCTTGTTTTACTTTAAAAATCCAAATATTCCATTTTTTCCCCTTTGGATCTTTGTTTGATTTCCAGATATGGTGATATGCGTGTGATGATGGCATATGAGCTTTTTAGCATGTGGCAGAATCTGGGTAAGTTAATCTTTGAGGAAACTGAGATTTACTCAGTTTAAGATTTATGTTTAATCTAATAATAGGGCAGTGCTGGCAATCTTTCATCCACTATTAAAGGAGCATTCAGAGCACCATAGGTACTAGATTATAATACACATTGGTACAACTTTACTAGAAATCATTTTTATAAAACAGGAGAATCATTTGTCCTTTGGAACTGTACACTATCATTAGATGATAGTTACCTGTATACATACCCTGTTTTCCCCAAAATAAGACATCCCCTGATAATATGCCCAACCGGGCTTTTGAGCGCATGGCAATAAGGCCAAGCGCTTATTTCAGGGTTCAAAAAATTATAAGACAGGGTCTTATTTTCGGAGACACACGGTACATATTTCCAAGCATAACTTATTCTGTTCCTTTTTGGATTAATTCTTTATGGTATAAGCATCTAGCTTGATTCATATCTGACTTCATTCCTTATCTTCAGTTATAGAATATTTTCAGATAGCAGGGAAGGTAAACAAAAAAGAGTGGGAAATGGGATGCAGAGGAAATGGTATTAAATAACTGCTTGGTTTTATTGTTGTTGTTGTTCAGGGGAACATAAAATTCACTTTATTCCTGGAATGATCGGTCCTTTTCTGGGTGTCACACTTGTGCCACAGCTAGAGGTTCGCAACATTATGATCCCCATTTTTCATGACATGATGGACTGGGAACAGCGAAAAAATGGCAACTTTAAACAGGTAAAATGTCTCTTCAGTTCTTACAATGTTTATTTCTTACTTAAATGTTCATTTACCAAGTAGAAATAATAAGCGTTTTGCTCCCAAACTATTAAGCATATTTCAATGACCTCAGGATACTGCAACCATCGTAAATAAATGCTAGTTGCCAAATATCCATATTTTGACCATGGGGATGCTATGATGGTCATAAGTGCAAAGGGCCAGAAGTAAGTCACTTTTTTCACCACGAATGGAACTTTGAATGGTTACTAAACAAATGATTGTAAGTCAAGAACTACGTATAGAATGTACAGCCAATTGCAAAACTTTATTTGAGTAGACTTTTTCCAATCCCATTCTCTTATTTTATTGTTTCCCACTCACATTGTTCTGAATTTTGATTCAACTGTACAATAAATCCAGACTGTGAGTTGTATGCTTTCTCTTTTCAAGCTCTAATCTTAAAAAGGAAAAAAGAGCCTGTCTCTTTAATTTTTATTTTTGTTAAGACTAAATAATGAGTTTAAATTTAGAATATATTCTGTCTCTGGAAAAAAAAATGGAAGAGAAACCATTCTTCTTTATGATTTCTGTATATCACACAAGTATTTCTGCATTACAGAAAACATTTGTACTAAAGTTATTTATGGAGACTTTGATTTATGTAGGATACTTATAGGAGAGAACCTTATGGCATGCTGCAAAAAGGGGATTCAGGGGTTTTTTAGGGAAACTTTTTGATAGATTTTTAAGGGATTTTAAGGGGTGGGAGGGTTGTGTGGGTTTGGGGGTTAACCCACGGGGGGAGGGGTCCGGCCCAGCTGTTAGTGGGGCCACGGAGGGTGCAGATTCCGGGGGTAAGGGGGACATTAGAGTCCATTCTGTCGAGGGCTTTTCTATCAATGTGTTGAGTGGGAGGGGCAGATACGGCGGGAGCAGGGGGCCGCATCATGTGGTGGGGGCGCGCACTCGCTATCTTCGAGCGGTGGCGCGCCCCGGTCCCCATAGCCCTTCTCGTATTCCAGGCTGTTCAGACTCTCAGGGCCCGAGCCTTCGGCTGCTGTCGTGCAATGCCAGGTCCGTGGTAAATAAAGCCCCCCTCATTTGCGATCTTATTCAGGAGGGGGGAGCGGACCTGGCAGGTATTACGGAGACCTGGTTGGGCCATGAGGGGGGGGTTCCCCTCGTGGATATGTGCCCACCAGGTTTCCGAGCATTCCATCAGCCGAGAGCTCAGGGCAGGGGTGGGGGGGTGGCGGTTATTATAAAGGAAAGTCTTGATCCGAGGGAGACCACTGTTCCACAGATAGCCGGATGTGAGTCCCTTTTTGTGAGATGGGGTCGTGGAGTACAGATGGGCTTGTTGATCACGTACCTGGCTCCCTGCCGCGTGGCAACGGCCCTGCTTGAGCTGCTCAACGTCATAGCTGAGGTGGCGGTTGGTACCCCCAGACTTCTAGTCATGGGGGATTTCAACCTGCCATCTGTCGGCGAAACGTCTGAGGTGGCTCGGGAGTTCATGGCTTCCATGACGGCCATGGACCTTACTCAGTTAATTCATGACCCCACTCACATGGGTGGACACACTCTGGACTTAGTTTTTGTCTCTGGTCAGTGGTCGAGTGGCCTTGATACAGGGGATATAGTCATCGAACCCTTGTCATGGTCTGACCACTCGCTCCTTCGACTGGACTTTCTAACCGCTGCACCCCGCCGCAGGGAGGCGGGACCGACCAGGTGGTTCCGCCCCAGGCGCCTGATGGACCCTGATAGGTTCCAGATGGAGCTTGGGCCATTTCCTGAGACTATGACTCACGACTCGGCTGAGGACCTGGTGGCCGCCTGGGATAGTGCGGCTGCCGGGGCCTTGGACCGTGTCGTGCCTTTGCGGCCTCTGACCCGGCACCGAACTCACCTAGCTCCTTGGTTCTCCGAGGAGCTTAGGGAGATGAAGCGCCGGAAAAGACGCCTGGAGAGTAGTTGGAGGACCAGCCGCTCCGAATCCGACCGAACACTGGTGAGGTCTCATATTAAGACCTACCTAGTGGCAATAAAAGCGGCAAAATCTAGCTATTTTGCCGCTCTTATCGCGTCATCAGATAATCGCCCGGCCGCCCTGTTTAGGGTGACCCGCTCCCTCCTCCATCTGGAAGCGCGGGATGACCCCTTGCAGGGCCGAGCTGAGGACTTTGTGCAGTATCTGTATGATAAAATCGCTCAGATTCGGGAAGGGCTGGCCTCTGACTGGGTATGTCCGGATGGGATGACTGAGGCAGGTCTTGAGAGTGTTATCTGGGGGGAGTTCGATCCTGTGGCTCCCGAGGACATGGACAGGGTCCTGGGACGGCTGAATGCGACCACATGTTTATTGGACCCGTGTCCCTCCTGGTTGGTACTGGCTTCCCGGGAGGTGACACGAGGCTGGCTCCAGAAGATTGTTAACGCTTCTTTGAGTGAGGGGGTCCTGCCGGCCGCTTTGAAAGAAGCGGTTGTGAGGCCCCTCCTCAAGAAGCCCTCTCTGGATCCGGCTGTTTTGGCTAACTATCGTCCAGTCTCCAACCTTCGCTTTGTTGCGAAGGTTGTTGAGAGTGTGGTAGCACAACAGCTTCCCCGGTACCTGGATGAAACTGTCTATCTAGACCCACTCCAGTCCGGCTTCCGACCTGGGCACAGCACGGAAACGGCATTGGTCGCGTTGGTGGATGATCTCTGGAGGGCTCGGGATAGGGGTTGCTCCTCTATCCTGGTCCTGTTAGACCTCTCAGCGGCTTTTGATACCATCGACCATGGTATCATGTTGCACCGGTTGGCGGGGTTGGGGGTGGGGGGCACCGTTCTGCGGTGGTTCTCCTCCTACCTCTCTGACCGGTCGCAATCTGTGTTGACGGGGGGGCAGCGGTCGACCCCGAGGCACCTTGCTTGTGGGGTGCCACAAGGGTCGGTCCTCTCGCCCCTTCTGTTCAACATTTATGTAAAGCCACTGGGTGAGATCATCCGTGGCTTCGGGGTGGAGTTCCATCAGTACGCTGATGACACCCAGCTGTACATCTCCACCCCAGGCCACCCCAATGATGCCCTTGAAGTGATGTCCCAGTGCCTGGAGGCCGTGCGGGCCTGGATGGGGAGAAACAGGCTCCGACTCAACCCCTCCAAGACCGAGTGGCTGTGGCTTCCAGCGTCCCGATATAGCCAGCTGACGCCATCGCTGGCTATTGGGGGCGAATCACTCGCCCCCACGGAGAGGGCTCGCAACTTGGGCGTCCTCCTGGACGCACGGCTGTCTTTAGAAGACCATTTGACGGCCGTGGCCAGGGGGGCTTTTTATCAGGTTCGCCTGATACGCCAGTTGCGCCCCTTTCTAGATCGGGACTCTCTACGCACAGTCACTCAGGCACTAGTCACTTCCCGCCTGGACTACTGCAACGCTCTCTACATGGGGCTCCCCTTGAAGAGCACCCGGAGGCTCCAGCTGGTCCAGAATGCGGCCGCGCGGGGGATTATGGGGGCGACGAGGCGCTCCCATGTGACACCTCTCCTGCGCGAGCTGCACTGGCTCCCGGTAGTCTTCCGGGTGCGCTTCAAGGTGTTGGTGACCACCTTTAAAGCGCTCCATGGCTTAGGGCCGGGGTACTTACGAGACCGCCTTCTGCCACCAATAGCCTCCCACCGGCCAGTACGCTCGCACAGAGTGGGCCTCCTCAGGGTGCCGTCCGCCAGACAATGTCGGCTGGCGACCCCCAGGGGGAGAGCCTTCTCTGTGACGGCGCCCACCCTCTGGAATAACCTTCCCTCGGAGTTACGTATAATAACAGACCTCCGGATTTTTCGTCGGGCCCTGAAAACTTATTTATTTCAACTAGCTGGGCTGGCTTGAGCTAAATTTTAAATTGGTTTTAAATTGGGTTGTTTTAATTTACGGCCAGAATATCTAATTATTTTAATACTGTTTTTTAAATTTTGTATGCTTTGTTTTTACTTAGGCTGTGCACCGCCCTGAGTCCTATTTGGAGAAGGGCGGTATAGAAATTTAAACAAATAAATAAATTAAACAAATAAATTATAGAATCATAGGACTGAAGAGATCCAATTCTATACCCAGAGCAGGAATCCTCATACTATACAACACAACTCCAAGCCTTGCTTGAAAACCTCCAGTGATAGAGTACCCACAACTCCAAAAAGCTAAATAGCTACTACTACGGCTAAATAGCTCTAAGTAAAGAATATATTAATTTAGAGATTGGATCCCCTCTGTAAAGCATCCATCCATTACTCCTTGTCCCACCTTCAGGAGCCATGGCTCCTAGCTTCCCTAGGATGGCCCTTTAAGTATTTGAAAACTGCTATCAGTCTTTTCTTCTTAAAATTAAACATAACCTGTTGATTTAAGCATTCTTCATTGGGTTTAGTTTCCAAGCTTCTTGTCATCTTTGTCACTCTTTGTGCTCTTTCTGGGTCCTCATCATCTTTGTATTAAGGCAATCAATATCCCATATCCCAAGTACAGTCTGGCAGATGCAGCATGGAGCAGAATTATCACTTCTCATGATCTTGACTCTGTAGCTCTGTTAATGTTGTTCAAGAGTGAAGTAGCTGTTTTAGCATCAGCATCACACTAGTGGCTCAAGTACTAGACCGACCTGATCCATCTCCTAAGTATTATTACTAAGCCATTGTTGCCTATCTTGTATCTGTTTTTCCTACCTATGTGTAGAATTTACATTTCTCAACATTGAACTGTGTTTTGTTGGATATGGGCCAATATTCAAAACTACCAAGATTTTATGGAGCACTGAGTCTGTTTTCTAATGTGTTAGCAATCCTCACCTTTGCATCATCTGCATTTTTTTTGTACTCCTTCTAGTTCCTCATCTAAGTAGTCAAGATCTTCCACAGGATACTTACCTCTCCATGTTGGCATAAAAGCATTTAAGGATCACATGCTGAGTCTGGTTCTTCAGTCAGCTATAAATCCTTCTGCTAGTGGGATTATCCATCCCACATTATTCCATTTTATC